TAAGAAGTGGTCATGAACCTCTTGGGCAGTGAACTGTTATCCTGATGGTACAATACCAGGAACAACCTGTTAGCCTGTGACCTTTGTTACACTGCTCTCAAACCAGTGTTGTCTTTTTTCCCATAAAAAGAAAATACAAAGTCCTATTAACAGTGTGTTTTGTGAAAGAGGAGAGGAGGTGACCTATTTATCAGTTCAGCCATTCTTACGAGTCATAATAAAATATTTACTGATTAAATTAAGACAGATTTTCTAAAATATTATAATGCATCGTTATTAATATCATGCTAAGTATTCTAGGACTGAACAAAACAAAAAACAAAGCCATGCATTTCAGTAATATCTAAATTTAATCACTCAACTAGGATTCAACAAACTGCATCTCAAATTCTTGGTGGGCATTTATTTTTAAATGCTGTTGCTTCGACTTGAGCTGACTTGATCTGCAGTAATTAAAGAGTTAGTAATTGGTTTATATTGAGCACAAAAGGATGCAGTTTAGAAACGTGTAACTTGAAACATCCTCTCAATGGGAGGATGCCTCTAGGCCAACAACGAAGTTCTGAAGCTCTATCTTCAATGAGCTTTGTTACATCCTAATAGATAAATACAAACACATGCTGCCAGTGACCAGCTTGTTATAGCACAGGAAGCAGGAAGAGGAAAGGGAAGCAAAGTAGAAGAAATGGGATGTGAGAGGAGAAGTGAAAATAGAGTGGATGTAATGGGAAAGAATGGAGTGCAGTGGAAAACTGAGAGGAGTAAAGAACTGGAGTAGCCAGGGAGAGCGTTATTATTAGAAGAAGAAATCAGAAACACTAGAGAACATGTCCTGTCCTCCTAGAGGAAGATCTGGCCTGGTTTTCTGTTAGAAAGGCCAAACACTGTCAGCTGGTTGCTGTGTTATTGCTTTGTTGTCTGCACAAAACTGTTTCATTAGATTTGAGTTATTGACAGCTTTTTGGCCTGCTCTCACACTCCCCCAGTGTCTCTCACCATTCTGTTCATGAGACGTTTTATTTGGCTTGACCACAACAGCCAGGCCAGACATAGAAATAAAAACGTCTGTCTCTGACTGACTGACCTTTGAATGCCTTGTGACTGAATGATGAAGTTACACCATTGGTTTCTATTTCAGTTTCTATTATGTCCACAGGGGGGCCTTTACAGGCAGCCTTGCCAACTTAACCTCTCTAGATTTACTGATTTTTCAGAACGACCCAGACTTTTTTTTTTTTTTTTTTTTAAAGCAAGAGACAAATCCAGTGACTTTTTGGACAAACCATTTCTACTCTCCAAAGCGACAGCTGGTTAACATGTATCTTAATGGGCCACGTTTCAGTCACTGTTTCAAACTTGTTGCATTGTCATGACAACAGAAATGTTAATGAGAAAAGCTTTATTGTGAATTCAGCTGTATTAAAATACTGTAAATGTGAGAACAAAGAGGAGGAGAGAAGAGAACAAATAAAGAGCTGAAACCAGCTGACACTGGGCTGCAAACCAGCTGACACTGGGCTGCAAACCAGCTGACACGAGACTGAAACCAGCTGACACGAGACTGAAACCAGCTGACACAAGACTGAAACCAACAGACACTAAACTGAAACCAGACTGAAACCAGCTGACACAAGACTGAAACCAGCTGACACTAGACTGAAACCAACGGACAATAGACTGAAAACAGACTGAAACCAACTGACACTAGACTGAAACCAACTGACACTAGACTGAAACAAGCTGACACTAGACTGAAACCAGCTGACACTAGATTGAAACCAGCTGACACAAAGTTGAACCCAGCTGACACTAGGCTGAAACCAGCTGACATTAGGCTGAAACCAGCTAACAAGAGACTGAAACCAGCTAACAAAAGACTGAAACCAGCGAACATGAGACTGAAACCAGCGAACACGAGACTGAAACCAGCTGGCACTAGAATGAAACCAGCTCAGTGTGTCCTCTAGGATTTTTTTCAGCAGTGGGGGGCATGCTCTCCGGGTGTTGGCATACACAAATGACCAAATGATCTGATCCATCAACTTCCTATTAATTCACCTTGTGCCAGTAAGGCCTGAGACCTCACACCCTGTTTGTGGTGCTCCGTACTCATGTGCCTATCCAGGTAGTCAACTCGGTAAAGTTGACAGCCTGCCTCAATGAATGGCCGCTTCTCTGTTCCCCTTTTTGGTGCCTGCTTATGCTGCCGACATAAGCAGCAGAACATTCCTATAGGGACAGAGTAACGTGGCATTATTGATCATTGCTCTGTAATGGAAATACACTGAATTTATTTATTCATTTATTTATTTATTATTTAACAGAAATATTGACATGTATATTATGCACAAAAAAAACAAGAAAGGAAAAAAAGATGCTGATCACTCACCATTATCAGTGTGGTAGAACCATGAGTGGAACCGGCTATTTTTTTCCACCCATTTAGGGTCCCATCCTGATAGCCTGTGCTTCGCTTTTTTTTTCTCTTGCAAGTCATTCAAGATTTCTCCTCTGTTCTCATCTCTCTCTCCTGCACCTTCACCCAGCTCTCCTGCTGCTGTGCTCTGCTCTCCTCCACTTTGTTTCATAACTCCTCCCTGTCTAATGTTACTTGTCTAATAAGATTACATTAAAAGTGTGAGTAACGTAACGCTAACAGCGTTATATAGTTTACACTCACATCACATCTGATTACAAGTGTGAACATTAAAACACTATTTTTTACCTAACCATCATCATTTACAAGTCAGTAAAAGGCTTTCGATAGGCTACCTGACTAGCGTCTTCTTCATCTCTTGTCTTTCTCTTCTTAGAGAAGTATCTGAACAAGCTCATCTGAAAATGCAGTCAGCAGTTAATACATAATGACATGTAGATATTAGCTTAATGCTATCAATTAGTTTACCCAAGTTAGCGTCACTGAGTTGGCTAATAAGTCTACCTTTTCTCCGGTAATTCGCTTACTACACTTCTCTGACTCTGACCTGGTGCCTGACGTGACGTCACTTTCAAGGCCGCGCTCTCGCGAGTAATTAACTCCAATAGGATCCCCCAACCACCCCACTCCCTCCCTCCCCTCTCCTCCCACCGCTGTTGCGCTAATCATCACACAGGCTGTGCTGTGAAGGTGGAGAGATGTGGCGGTGGTGCATTTGCGACAATAAAAAAAAAAAAAAGAAATTTGAAGGCATGGCATCTATGATTTAGCAGTGGCGGGTCACCACTGCTAAATGAATGTAGAGGAAACACTGCAGCTTGCACTAGACTGAAACCAGTTGATACTAGACTGAAACCAGTTGAAACTAGACTGAAACCAGCTGACACTAGGATGAAACTAGCTAATACTAGACTGAAACCAGCTGACACTAGACTGAACCATCTGAAACCAGCTGACACTAGACTGAAACCAGCTGGCACTAGACTGAAATCAGTTAATACTTGACTGAAACCAGCTGATACTAGACTGACGAGGCAGGATGCAAATAGGATGCAATGATGTCATGATTATGCTAATTAGCGCATTACGTCATCTAGTTACATTTAGCACATTATTTACAGTTGCTCCACAACAGTTTTCAACTATGTCCTTAATTTCGCACATTGAACACTCTCGGCCCAGACATGTAACAGGTTTTGTTTCTCTTTGAGTCTAATTTCTGCCATTTTATTTGCTGGTTATTGTGGTACGACACACTATCTGATGTAGACAAGAAGTATATAGAAAAAGTATTTTGATACTAATACATGTGTATGAATCTATTTAAAGATTTTTGTCCTCAAGTTCAGGGGTTCAGTACAACACCACAACACTTCATCACACATTTTCTCAAATGATTTGTGTCCTTTAGGATGCTGTTTGTGGGCTACAGAAGCAATTTCTAATTGTACATTTTAGCTGTTTTGTCAAAATGCACTGTGCTACACATTAAATATGACAATATGGTTAAAATTGTATGAAATCGTGTAACTATAATCTTATTTTTTTCTGTCTGTCTTTCAGGTGTTACGTTGAAATCTCAGTACGCAGCAGCCCTCACACTGAGGAGCCAAAGCTTCACCTGCGGCTCCATAGGACCAAGCAGTTATGTGACAGATTGATCAGCGTCTGTATGACAGTGGACAAGTACACAGATCTAGTGCTTAAAGCAGCACAAACTCTAAAATCAGTTAGCTCAGACCTATGGCAGTAAATCACACAACTGAAGTATTTGGTCATAACCGAAGATCAGATGTAAAAAACAGGAACTTTTAAAGTCCTCCAGTGTTTTTGATCAACTCAACACATTCCTGCATTCAACTTCTGCACTGGGGTCGGGTGCATGGGTGTTGTGCTGACAACAGGCTATTGTCATGGTGGCCTGGTATGTCTGAGCCTGAAGCGAGTGGAGCTTCTCAGTTTCATATAGAATGTTAGCATATGGCTAACTACGTATGGTGACAGTTAAGGCCATTATCCTCCACCCCTTTATCACCATCTCTGGCCCCTACAAGGGGGTATAAATTCATTGGTAGTGGCACCCCTTTACCCCATCATCTTTTTATTTCTCTCTCTCTCTCTCTTTCATCTCTCTTTCAATCATCCATCCACCAACCCAACAATCATCACCTTTTGCTTCACACTCATTAGCCCTCATCATTTTTGTATAGTACTTAGTGCTCTTTAGCTCAGCCTAACAACGCTCTGGTCCTTTACGAGATCCACCTCTTTCCTTTGACCTCATCTCACATCTGTCCCATTTCAGCCACAGCCCAGTACCTGTCCCAACCCCAGTGTAACTCAGTCCGGACCAGCATAGACCACCCTAAAGTCTGACACTCGAGCCGCTAGGCGGCAGTTTTGGTGGTTGCTTTGGTTGCATGGAATCGGCTTAACCGTGGAGAGACCAGGATACCACAAACTGATGGACTTTGACAAGCGAGGAGTGGGGGGAGGAGGGGGCGGTGGAGGAGGCGGAGGAGGAGGTGGTGGTGGTGGTGGTTGTGGAGGTGGAGGCAAGGGGGAGGCAGAGGAGGGGAAGAGGATGTCTGGGAAGACGGGGAGTCGATCAGGGCACGGTGGCCGGGGTGCTGGCTCCAACTCCGGGGTTCTGATGGTCGGACCAAACTTCCGGGTCGGAAAGAAGATCGGCTGTGGGAACTTTGGAGAGCTGCGACTTGGAAAGAACTTGTACACCAACGAATACGTGGCTATCAAACTGGTAAAAATCCTTCCTCTGTGTATGGTTGTTTTAGGGCAGCACTTAGAATTTAAGAACCCTAACCCTGAATTGCAACTAAAAGTGAGAGAAAATTGTTTCACATTGTATCTAAATATTATGTATCTGGTACATGTTAAACATTTGTGCTTGACTACCCTGAGTCTGGTAGTGTTGTCAGAAAAATGCTTATCATGGATTTTATTTAATTAACTTTACTGCCTCTATTGTGTGATATTCTAATTCAAACACAATCATCCATTGCAGGAGCCAATCAAATCGCGGGCACCTCAGCTCCACCTAGAATATCGCTTCTACAAACAGCTGGGAAGTTCAGGTGAATACCGACATCTCTTCTGTTGGATTGTCTACTGTGTGAATTAGTCATGTCATAACTAAAGGGTTTTTTTTTATAAAGAAAACCCTTCAAGTTAGCTTATAAGAAGCTAGCTTTGTATAGCTTTGTATTCTACATTTGTAGAATTGTTCTTGTATTGTAGTATTCTCTTCATTTTTGCTGGTGTTCCTCTCATGTTTGCCCAATTTGCAAGACACATTTCCCTGTGCACTGCTGTCACTGCAAAGCTTAACACAGAGGCAAAAACAAACTTAAATGTACAACACACAGGTATGAAAGAAACCACCATAAATGTTTTCAAAAAATGACATCAGACATGATAAAATCACTGAATACTTTTAACTTACTCAACTTTTACTTGAACACTGGCTTTTGTCTGTATTTTGACTTTTAGCCTTTTGACTTGGATCGACTTGATGTTCTCCTCACGACCAGAGATTAAAAATCCTCTTCAAATCTTTATTTTCATGAATACACTTTCAGTCAGTCCGACAACAGTCAGTCATGCTGTGTGGGCGGGAGAAAGATTGTGATTGTTTTCCCGGGGGAAACACACCAAGGCACAGCTGATCATTTTGTTTTAACGTCTTATAATGTCTGCTGTGGAACGTGGAAATAATACTTTGATTAAATAATCTTTGCCTGCAGCTGCTGTCAGTTTGTCTGCTGACTGTAATTACACTGTGTTTTAATGGATGCAATAATGACTAATGTTGGAATAGTGTATCATCTTTATACATAAATGTACCTGTATCCATTTCCTGTTATGTCTTTCATCCAGAGGGTGTTCCCCAGGTGTTTTACTTTGGACCCTGTGGTAAATATAATGCTATGGTTCTGGAGCTGCTTGGACCCAGCTTAGAAGATCTGTTTGACCTCTGTGACCGGACCTTCTCTCTAAAGACTGTACTCATGATAGCCATACAATTGGTAAGACAGACACACAAGAAAACATTTTCCACCACCTTTTTGCATTGTCTTTTTAATGTATTCTACTCTGAACTACATCTTTTAGATAACCCGTATGGAGTTTGTCCACACCAGGAGCCTGATCTACCGAGACGTGAAGCCTGAGAACTTCCTAGTGGGCCGACCCGGCTCCAAACGGCAGCACACCATCCACATCATAGACTTTGGCCTGGCAAAAGAGTACATAGACCCAGAGACCAAAAAACACATCCCATACAGAGAACACAAGAGTCTCACTGGAACGGCTAGATACATGAGCATCAATACACACCTGGGGAAAGGTGAGCTCTAACCCAAACCATAGATCCACACCATATTAACAATAGGTAGGCCCAGTCAGAGCTGAACAACATGGTGACTCTCCCTTCAGTCTGACAGTTGTGAGTGAAACAAAAAGATTATGAAGAGTTTAAAATACGTTTAAACAAAGTTAATGCACACAGCTGTGACATAGTGCATTAATGTTGCTGTAAGAGTCTTATACCATAGCGTATGTGTGGAGACAGATCATTGAAAGAGAAGCAATGTTGTGAATGCACAGAAGAAAGTGTAAATATCTGTGACATATGACATTTAAACTAGAAATAAGGAGAGAAATGGGGATGTGGTATACTAAGGCTGGGTATTGCCACTGATTTTCTGAATTGATTCAATTCAAATTCACAGGCATTCGATTCCCGATTTGATTGGATATCGATTCAGTCAGAGATATTTCAGTTACAATTTGAATTTGTCTTGGATATGAATGTGATTTTCAGATCTATTGCTGTAAATTGTTCCTCTAACCTGGGGCATTATTTTACTTACATTACGAGTGGACACAAAGCAGTTACATTAATGCTGTCTGTTTAACATGACCAACAATTTACACACATCTCAATAAATAATAGATGTAATGTGTTGTTAACACACCCCAGTGCACCGGTTACACTGTGTATAAACAGGTACACAGCGTCTTCTTGCACATCTTTTACGTACAGCTTTGCTTTTGTCCAGCTCCTCACTGTCTTTTAAGTCTGAAATGCAGCCACACATCTGTCTTTAGACTTGCTGCTGACTTCTTTAGAACCTCTCTGTCATGTTATCATGTGCAGAGGTGTAGTGCTGTTTGTTTACTTACCGGAGCACACCTATGGTGCACGCGCACGGTTTAGTTCCGGTGCAGTTCAAACATTATGAAATCCTATGGTGACAAGTTTACATACATTTAACGACTAGTGTCGAGCAAATGAAGTGGCTTTGGAAACATCCATACAGAGGAAAAGCTGCGGTGCAGGCAGAGGTCTGGTGAAGCTAACAGGCCAGGCTAAGAAAACGCAGCTAACCTAGCTTTTCATAGCTTTCGGCAGCTCTGGCAGCACTACACCTACGCTCACCTGACCAGATCTAGTTGTGACAGCTTCACACCTCCACAGGAGAATGTAAAAGACAAATATTAAAAGATCGATCATGGCTTTTATGAATCGATATCGTCTAATTCAAATAAATATTGATTTTAATCAGAGAATCTATTTTTTCAACCCAGCCCTATGGTATACCCCTCTGTTTCTCTGCTGTAAGGCATAGCCTTCCCTTCTGATGCTGTTTGGCCTGTTGGCCTGTTTTTGATTTTTCTTGTGTGTGAAAAAATCCAATAACAATATTGAACAAAACAAAAGATACAAAAACACTGTAAATACTGTAAATACTGCTGGACGCAACTGTTCTGCAACATGTAACCATCACCTGGTTCACCTGGACATCTGAGTTGCTGTCTACATCTCCAGTTTTCCTCAACAGTTTAAATAGGTTTGGTGTTATCCTCATCACGGCTGTTGACGAACAATCAAACCAACTGGAGCTTTTTAGGTGAAATTGAGAATTGCCCTGAACAACATTGGGTGCAAAACAGTTGGATGTGGTTTCCACTTCATTTCAATTCAGCACACAAAACAGCACAGACCTGAATTGACTGTTCTGTGAGGCACATAAACAAAATGTCATGTGCACCAACAGCGCTGTAAATAATATCAACAAAATAAAGCAGAACAGATATGCCTCTATTTTTATCAGTCCAGTTGTTTCACTTCCACCAGTAACAGAAGTGTATTTTATGCTTAAAGTCTTCTATTTTACACACAGACTACAGTGAGTGTGTAGTGGGCTCTGAGCGCTGCCAAACATTTGGGTGACCCACAGTCAATACTGTGCCTGAACACCTATATAGACACTGATGGAAGATTGAAGCTGCTGCTGCTGCTAATGTGCTGCTTTCATGAGCTGGTTGTGTAGACATTGTGTAACAGATATTTGATTTGGCTGAAGAGAGGCTCAATCCAAATGGAAAAAGATCTGTACTGTGCCTGCCAGTGACAAGATTAAATTAAAGTTTACCACGACATCTCCACTACTTACTGCTGTTTGATTACCGCCTCACATGCTCTTCATTAAGTCCATTAATAAGTGAGGAGCAATAAAATTAGCTGTGTGAAGTTCCTGAAATATTTCACTCCTCAAGTGGGAAAAGTAGTGAAGTGAAGGTCGTTTGCATCTGTTTCATTTTTTAAATATTAATTACCATCAGTGCTGATGGAGTTATAGTACCATGAAGGAATGAGACCACAGTGAATAGAAAAGCCTATTTCTCTCAGTACTCTCTCCTGGTATTCCATGAACCAGACTGGATGTTGAAGCATAGTGTTTGTGTTGTTAGCTTTAGAGGTGTTAAAACTGACACAGTCCACACTGTCCCTTGTTATTTCAGAGCAAAGCAGGCGGGATGACCTGGAGGCTCTAGGCCACATGTTCATGTACTTCCTGCGAGGCAGTCTACCTTGGCAGGGACTCAAGGTGAGGAGACGGTTCACAGATTTATGGCTACGTCCACACTACTAAGTTTTCATTTCAAATCAGTGTTCTAAAATGAAATCAATCTCTGTCCAGACGACTATCGTAGCTCTGTATCAGAAATCTCTGTCCAGACTAACACGCCAAAAACGCATTCATATATGACCGTTCACCTACACTGGACATGTGTGAGCCGGTGTAAACAGGAAGTAGGTTGTCTACTCTGCAGTTGATTAGTCGCACTCTGAACAAGGAACAACAAAGACAGCTGCAGTGTTAAAATGCAGAATGTAAGTGAACATCAGCTGCTAGCAAAGACAACAAAGTCAGTAACACTGTATTTCATCATGTTGTATTCACCACTGGTAGTCCAGGTTGATGAGAGCCAATCAGGGAGCGATGGTGGTGTCTACATCATTGTTTCTAAATGTCTCAGTTTCTGTCTGTCCAGACCAGTGGCGATTGCTCTAAGACTGCAAGGGAAGCTCAGCTTCCCCTAAAATGTCAACAAAATAAGTGGTCAAATATGTGCTGTTGTGTGTACATTTCATTGACTAAATATGCGCTAGAACACGTTCATCTTTTGTTCAGAATCAGTTACTTATCACAGGTAACCGACACGGACTTCCTTCTCATTCATCCCCGCAGCGCCACAGTGCTTTACACAGTGTAGACGCCGAGCGTCTACTGACTTCAATGGGGAAGCGCAGAGTGGGTTGTTCCACTGCAGTGAAACTAGACAGTCATTGGATAAATGCTGGGCTTTGTCCCGCCCATCGGACGCTCAGCGTCTCTGGGGGTCTATGGGGCAGTGGGCTGGCCCGGACGCTCAGCTTCTGCATGATGATTGGATGATCTGTCTGAGGCTGAGTCCCTTTTTGATTGACAGCGAAATGAGCGAATCAGCGATCTTGAAGTATAAGCATCCACCGGAGCGTTTTTCAAGTTTTTCATTCCGTTGTTCGGAGTTGATCTGGAGACGTTACTGATCCTCAGCCACTTTGTCTTTGTTAAAAACGACTAGCGGTGTGTTTGGCGACTCTCTTCTGTCACTGCGAATTTACATATAAATAAACGGACACATTTTATGATGTAGGCCGAAAATGAGCTTCCCCTCCTTATAAGACCAGCAGCCGCCACTGGTCCAGACTACAACACAAGCCCAGAGTTTTCAAAATAAAACAGAACTCCAGAGTTTTCAAAATAAAACCGGGCCAGCAATGTTTCCAAAAGTCTCTGTTTTCAGAAACACAGCATTAGTGTGAAAGTGTGAAACATAGGAAGAGAGATGCTTTTTAAAATGTAGTAGTGTGGACATAGCCTTTGTCTTTTCACTTCCTGTTATACCTCTGTCTTTACTTTGTATCCATCCTTCACCTGTTATCGATGAATTCCTCCCTGTGTCTCTCCTCATCAGGCCGACACTCTGAAAGAACGTTATCAGAAGATAGGAGACACCAAGCGAGACACACCGATAGAGGTCCTTTGTGAGAGCTTCCCAGGTTTGTACACACTCACGCACTCACACACTCACGCACTCACACACACACGCACACACACACATGCACACACTGTGGCGTACAGTCTGCTGATGTGAGCATATGTTGATCAAATTTTCTGTGCATGTGTGGGTTGGGTGCTTGTGTTTGCTGACACGTGTGCATGCCTGTGTGTGTGTGTGTGTGTGTGTGTGTGTGTGTGTGTGTGTGTGTGTGTGTGAATTGTGTTTGTGCGCCCGTGTGTGTGTTACAGAAGAGATGGCCACATACCTGCGGTACGTGCGTCGGCTGGACTTCTTCGAGAAGCCGGACTACGACTATCTGAGGAAACTCTTTACAGACCTCTTTGACAGAAATGGATACATCTTTGACTACCAGTACGACTGGACTGGAAAGCCACTGGTCAGTGTGCAGTGGGTTTTTTGTACAGTACTCACAAAGTAAGACAGACATAACATAACAGTGATACATAAACTTCTGACTGAGGTCAGAAGGTCAGCAGAAAACAGTGTAGAAGTTCAGGTAATGTGAGCTGTGAGTTCAGTGCTGACACATTTGAGTAGTGCATGATCTTGTCATTACTGGCATTACTAACAAGTGTTTACATTTGTTGTAATTAGTTTTCATAATAACACTAGAGTTCATTGTACAGGACTCCTAGTGTTATCCATAAGATCACTTATCCATACAAGAAAAAGTCCATATAAGAAAACATCAAATATCCATGCTTGTCTTTCCTCTCTGTTCCCATGGTGACATCACTGCCTGTGTCTTTAGCCCACTCCCATTGGTCCAGTGGCCAGCGAGACTCCACTTCAGACAAGCAACCGAGAAAAAGCACCGCAGACCAAAAACCAGGTACGCACACTCACCTAAGTGTTTCCAGACACATGATGTGCAGTATGTGAGTCTGAATATGTGGAACAGATTCAGTACATCACCAAACACACAGACATACACACACACAGCTGGACACATGAAGCAGCCCTGACTCTCACTCAGTGCTGCACTCAGATATTTATCATTTCCTCATATTTTAATGTACCCTCCCTTCCCCAAGTAGAGATTAATACTCGGCTTCTTCACCGGTAGACCATATATAAGACCTAAAATAAAATTATTTTAATAACATGTAAGTAAAACGCTGCAACGTAAGAACAGTCTGGGGGGGAGGGGTGATGGCGGCAGCAGCAGCTTGGGTCACGTCTGTGAGGGTTGATTAAATATGTGAGCCCAGTCCTGGAACACGCACACTAAGGGAATGAACAACAGGTACACAGAGAGGGCTGGTAAAAACTTTTATGGCTTTTTTGACCGAACCATGAGGTGGCGGCAGATCTGGAAGTTTCCCGGTGCTCACGATGGTCAGTCCAACTGTGTGCAGTGCAAGCGACAATAAAATCAGGGAGGAGAAGGTACATGATCTTCTTCTGCCCTGAACTTGATCTCACATTTTCTGTTGATCAGTGCCAGAAAACTTAAGTATTGCATCTTAAAGTTGCTTCATGAAAAGGTCACGTTATGGGAAAGTTCACTGTGTTTGTGTTTCTTTAAAAATGGTATTAAATGTAAATATTCTATTTTATGAAAATTAAATACTGCAGTTCAATTCCATATACACATTCATACCAACAACCAACACATTACATGGTCACAAAGGGCTGGGCGGTATAATCCACAGTGTATATACTTGTACTGTGTATTATGTGGGGATGTCACGAGACCACAAACGTGGTAGTTGGTACCAATGAAATTCCAATCTGAGTGATCTGATCACAAGTGGACACCTAGTACATCACCTGACATTAGAATGCGTTATTCCACCTTGCTGTTCTGAATAAAAAGTACGAACATGGAATGATGGGCATTGTTGTTCCGCCTTTATGCCAGCAGCAGAGGTCGTCACAGAGCTGGATCTACGTCTGTGTAAAAGGGAGAGCCAGCATTCCGGGACAGGACACTGACACAGTTGTTATATGTCACACGCTGATTCTGGAACGCCTGCTCTCTAAAATCACACACCGGTCTCTGTGTGGTTCATTGTAAATGAGCAAAGATGCCTGTTTGAGAATGAGAGAGAGAAAAAAATTGAAAATCAATATGTGATATTCACAAATAAATCAATGTATGGGGAACACTTACATTTTTGGTTATGAAACTGTGGCGAGACAAATTAGTCAGTAGAGTAGGTGGTCCTTGAAAGTGGCCCCAGAGACATTTACGTTCAGACTCCTAAAAGAATGTGGCCATATGTGGTCCAGACACCTCCAGATGTGGTCCGAGTGATCGGATCTCATATGTGTCTTTGGTGCACTCACACCTGAACTTAGAGCTGTCCATTTGTGATCAGATCAACCAAGACCATGTTAATGCAGGTCTGAACGGCTGCTTAGATCAGTCTGAGGTGTTTCCTCCTGTGGCTCTGTTTACATACTGGCTTATCACTGTCTTGAACTTGTCGCTTGGTGTGTTTTTTTGGGGTTTTTTTTCCATAAGTTGTGGTGGACCTGTCGCTGCACCCACACTTGCTGCCACCATTCCACGTGTTGTTATTGTTTACGATGCCTGTTTTCTTTTTTGTCAGACTAGAACAATAGTGTTGTTATGTTGCCCTCGTCAATTCTGGAGGAATCACATTTCCAGTGCCTACGACATCGTCAGTACCTAATTACATGGTTCTGTAGAAGTATTGTCACATTTTCCGAATTTTGGCATTAACTTGTTACTGTTGTATTTGTTCTTGTGACATCCCTAGTATCATGGTTTATACTGTGTATTTTCTCCCTATCATTGAAAACACTGCAAGATTCTACGTGAAAAAGTATTTATCGCCTGGAGGTGATTCACTACCCTGAGTTGGTAGTTAAAAAAAAACAGGTACAACTAATGCTGTGTTTTAGATTAACCCTGTGTGTGTGTTTGTGTCTTTTCTATTTGCTCCAATTTTAGCATGACAGCTGTTGTACAACTTCTGTATTTTGTCCATGGTGAAATATTTGGTTCTGCCTCAGAAGCCTTGTCTGTGTTCATTTATTCCCCCGCCTTCTCTCAGTATTCAGACATGTCGATTTATCTTGGCACATTTCACAGTGTGCGGTTTGTACTGGTTATACCACCCACCCCTGCTTTTACATTGACGGACACAAACGCACATTAGTCTAGGTTTTCAGTAGTTAGGTTGCACTGCAGGTTTGAGGGCATGTGAGGTTGAGGGAACACGGGGAATAGACCACCTCCTTTCCCTGTTGCGCAGGGCTTCCACATGTGTGCACTCTGACCGTACTGCACACCTGAGTGCTCACCCTCCTGTTGCTCCTCCACCAAATACTGAATCTGAACTCACTGTTTCTTTTTTCTTTCCTTTTTCACTCTGTACTCATTCTTTTCTCTCCTCGTCGTCCTGCTCCTCACCCACTCCTCCATCTGCTCATCTGCTCATCTGCTCATCTTCCCACTTCTCCCTTGCTTTACTGCTTTCCTTCTATCACTCGATTCCACCGTTTCTTTCCTTTTCCCTGGCAACCGCGATCTTCCATCTCACCTGTCCTCTTCACCTTTTCCCTTCTCGACCTCCTTCTCCATCATCTTCCCCTTCTCTTTTCTCCTGCAATCGGCTTCCCGTCTCCTCTAGTCTCCAGAGGGGAAAGGCAGTGAGTCCCAGCCCACTCCAGTGACCAATCGAGAGCTGCTGGGCTCCCATCTCACTGCTGATAGGCTGGGCGGGTCTGTCCAGGTACTGAGAGGAAGGGTTAGCTCTGCTGGCTTCCTGTCTGTCTGCCTACCTGTCTGTCTGTCTGTCTGCTTGCATGACCTCCTCTGTCTCTGCAGCAGGGCTGACCTCCAGTTTGTTTCCTCACAGCCTCAACAGTTCCCTAACATGGGAATATTGGAATAGATTAAAACCTTTACCTGTCCTGGTTAGGTTTGTGTAGCCTCTGTTTTTCTCCAGCTCTGTGTCATGTTGTTATACAGTAGTCAGGCAGCGTTTACATCTAAACTATCACTGCCTTTTTAACAACGAAATAATGGAGTCTATCAGCAGGGGGACATAAGGTGGTTGCCTGGCTACCGGATACAGGATGTAGGTTGCTTTCTGGGAACTGACCAGTGACAACGTGGAGTAAGATGGGTTTCATCCTGTGTGTGAAGCAACAACCAGAATAAACAATAGAAAATGGAGCAAAAGTTAAGTTGGTAGTTAGTGAGTGAGAATGGAAACATTTCTTGTTTTATTCAACAACATAAAATACTCCAGTCCTGATTTCTTGAAGCTTTCACGTCTGTTAAAAAAGGCCGGCTGCTAACAAGTGTGTAAATGAGACTACAGAGGTTGTCGGGGACGTTAAACATCATCATCACGTTGAACATGAAAACTGATCTACTCACCAGTCCACCTTTACAGCCTGGAGTTTATACAAACTGTCACTAACTGTGTGAGAGGAAAGGCTTTTGTAGAAGAGGACAGAGCTAAAGCAAACTACAAGGTGAAGTTTAGTGGTGGAGACGTTGAATTGTATTGCTGAGATCCTACGAGTTGGTGCATCTCACACATAAACTATATGATGTAGGGTTTGATAAGGAAAAGTTCAACTTGTATTTGGTATTTCATTCTTGACCGGTATTAATCTGTAAATATGGGGTAACTCCATGTATGCTAGACCCAGATCTGTAAATATAGTTCATTACTTATCACTGCTCTCGTTTGTTTGTTGGTTTTTCTTTTCAGATTTGTTAGTGGTCACTAGAACAACATGTAGTGACTGTAGTGGTATATGATCAAACAGTGCAGAGGTCATTTTGATGTGGGGAAGTTGAGAATTGACATGTTTAATATTCCATGTAAAAACATTTGGGTTTAATGCTTTCTGAGGCACTAGGACTTTCCCTGTATTATCTGAAACTAGGTGAAAGCTCCCACCTCGTACCGATGGCTTCAGAAAGTATTCAGACCCCCTCAGTTTTTGCACACTTCATTGTATATATACTATATTTAATTTTAGATTCATGAAATTGCCATTTTTTGCCCATCAATCTACACTCAGTAACCATTATGACAAAGTGAAAACGCTTTTTAAGTTTAAATTTAATTAAATTTATTAAAATCAAAAACTGAAATTTCTTATTTACTAAAGTATACCCTTTGCTGTGGGTCAGGTGCGTCTTCTTTGCTTTATTTATCCTTGAGATGTGTCTAGAACTTGACTGTGGTCCACCTGCGGCAAATTGAACTAATTGGACAGTGTAGAAAGAAACCTCTGTATAAAAGCTCCCACAATTCACACTGCAGGTAGGACAAAACTAAACCATGCTTTAGCAGTCCTCTGCAAAGGTAGCTGAAGCTGGACAACCACCTCAGCAGCTCTCCATCAATCAGGGCTTCAGAGAGACGAGACAGAAGACAGTAAAAGACATATGGCAGCCTGCTGGGGTTTCACAAAAGAAACAAGACCCTGGTCTGATAAGACTAAAACTGAACCCTTTTAGCAGAACTCCAAACACTATGTCTGCATGGTGGGGGCAGCATCGTCATCAGCAGGGACAGGGAGACTGGTCAGACCTGAGGCAAGGATGAGAGCAGCCAAATACAGAGAGGTCGTTGAGGGAAAACCTGATCTAGAGTCCAGGAGATGCGACACTGAGCCCACAGTTCCTCTTCTAATGATGTGGTCATTAATACATCACCACCAAGATGAAAACCGCTGCTCTGTTGCCTAAAATGCGTTTAAACTCAAAAGGTTCTTCTCTTTTTTAACCTTCACTTTCTTTTTAATGGGAACTTTTTTTTTATGTCCACCAACTCACGTTAGTAACAATTACATCAGCCAGTGAGCCCTTCCTTGTTTACAAAGAGACTGTAGTGAGTGTGCGTACTGATGGATAAACTGATTTTGAATGAGCTTCTGAAGGAGCAGTAAGTAACCATTTGAGATGCTGCATCTGAACCTTTTCAGTTTTGGTTGGAGTGATCCGATTTAAAAACGTTTCAGTCACTGTGTCTTCACCATTTAATCTAAAAGTTACCACTGCTTGTTGTTATAAACTGTGAGCTGAAATCAACACAGTCAGCCATGTAGCAGAGGTGCTGCTGTTTTGCATGGCAACAAAATGAATGCTGACACTGCCTGTGTCTGTGGACTGTTGAGACACGTCCACATTAAGTTAGCTACATTTGAAAACAGACTTCTTCTTTGTGATGATGGACACAGATGGGCGTTTAACCAGCTGAGACTCAGCAGATTAATCGGCCTCTGTTTGTCCCAGTTGCTGAGTGAAAGCCACGAGAAAGGAAGATGTTTAGGTTTGAAAACACACGAGTGACAGCATTTTCAGATTTATCTGCCTTAGTGTGGACCACACCTTTTAAATGTCGTCTCACCTGTACTCATCCCTCTCTCCCATTTCTCACCCACAGGTGATGAGCTCAACCAATGGGGAGCTGAATACAGATGACCCCACTGCAGGACACTCCAATGCACCAATCACAGCCAATGCAGAGGTGGAAGTGGCTGATGATACCAAGTAAGGATACACACACACACACACACACACACACACACTGGTGAATACCCTAGCTATGTGTAGAGTATGTCAGAACCTGCAACTCCTCTTTGAAACATTCATTAAACGTTCAGTCCACCAACAAGACTACACAAACCTCTGTTCAGCTGCCAAGACTTCCTGTGACTTCACCATGTTCTTTTATTTTGCTGCCAGGCTTTTACACTGAAAAGCTTCACGAGGTGTTGACGTTGCTCTAACTGGACGATGACAGAGCAGAGAGTCTGGTTGTTCTCTCTGTCGCTATGTTTTCACTCTGTGCTACATTTAGTTTTATTTTTTTCAGGTGAAGTCAAAAATGACTTAACATGCACCATTTTATATTGACTGAGCAGACCAAACCCCTGAAACATTATCAACTTGTTCATGCATCTTCAGCTGCTAGTTAGTGTTTTAGATAATTATGTTTTTTGCTGTAAATAAAAATTAGCATGTTGCTTTTTAGACTATGTTAAAAAAAGTAGCTGGTCTCGGTACAGATAAATATAGCAAACCAATGTTTGGTGGACCTCCAGCAGATACAGTGGCTAGTCAAGGATTCCTGGAACATTACTTTAAAGCCCCTTTTCCACTGGTCAAAAACCTGCTAAGACCCTCTAACAAAGGCTTTTTTCATCAATGTGAAAACGTACATTCAGCATTCACTCCAGGATCAAAAGATTAGTCACAGGTATATATCAGCTCCGGATCCAATCAGCAGTGATGTAAACACAACACCTGGGTGAACTTGTGACGTCTTTCAGAGCACAAACGACAAAGCCCTGAAATAAGCTTTAAAAACACACAATCACTGATCGAAGTGTCTCACACAGAGCCTCCGACACTTTACAGGAGCAACAACCTGGAGATGAGATGCAACAGATCTACTTTACCAGTTTGCACAGCAGCGAGCAGCTCACTCTTTCTCCTTTGCATCTGTGTGTGTGTATGTTCTCTGTAACTGCATGTGATAACGTTGCACCGTGCAGCTGTGTGTGTCTCAGAAAGGCAAACTCGGCTGTCGTGTAAAAGGAGTCAATCACCTTTTTGAGTGGGTTTACCTGCTTAATTTGTTATAAAAAGGGTATAAGATTAAACCAGGTTTTTACAGCCAAGGAATTATATTATATCAATGGGTGCTTTTTATTTTAACTTATGAAAAAGCTGAACACTCAGTACATTGTCATAGGTGATGTAATAACATGAAAACATCCCTTATTCATTAAGATCCATTCTTCTTCCTCTTGTTTTGAACACACCAATTGTCTTAATATGGTCAGAGAAGAAAAAGATATAAGTAGACATCATTAAAGGCCCTGAAAACTTGGTTTCAGATCCTATGAGATTAAATATCCGTGGTTAAGTATGTAACAGTCAGAGTTTAATATTGTAAAATAAAACATTGATGTGCGTCTATGTGTGTGTGTGTGTGTGTTGCAGGTGTTGCTGTTTCTTCAAGAGGAGGAAGAGGAAAGCTCTCCAGAGACACAAATGAAAACGAGAGACAAGAGAGAAACCCCTTCTCTCTTTTTCACCATTTCTTTTTCCTTCTCTCTTTCTGTAGTCCTCTTCATATAACCCCCCCTCCCAATCTCCACCCCTCTCCTCCTCTGCTGTTGGAGGTCCTGTAGTCTACCTTGGGTCAGCTAGATTGGCTGGATCACCAGGCAGCACGATATGATTGCTAAGCTGATCTGTTGGTTTCTCCCGCTCTGAACCGACCAGACACACAGACAGCGACATGCTGTTCCACCCCGGAGCTTTAAATGTGGACTCTATGGTCGCAAACTGAACTCAAACTGGATAGACACAAACTGCTGTGACCACAAATGAACAGATAGACTGTGAAAGGTGAGCTGATTGGCTGACAGACTGGATTCAGCTGGTTTCCTGGCAGACTGGCTACTTCTCTATTTTTTGTTTTTGTTTTTTTCTTCTTACTGACTGGTTCAGAGGAGAGAGACGAGTAGTTCTGAGGAGATACAGAAGAGAGCTATGGAAGGACTGGATGCAATGAGACTGTCAGACCACACACACACACACACACACACACACAAAACACATGCACACACGTAGAAACGCTGCACACGGTCTTGAGCTCATCATAAAGAGACTCTGTAGACAGAAAGTTGCAGCTCTCACACATAGTTGATAAAGTTTTTATTCCCTGGGGTCAGAGGAAGTACACAGTTAGCGGCTTGGTCTATTTCCTGCAACGGATCAGGCTCGTTGTACTTGTCAGACACATTCACCCTCAGAGGAAAACCTCACAACCACCAGAATCAAGAGTTTAAAAGAGATGTTTATGTAAAAACTATGCTTTTTTCTGTTTTAATTTGTAACTAAAAAGACTGTCTGCAATTTGAAGCCTGTGTTTTTTTCTGTCTTTTTGAGTTGTTCAAAAAACTTGTGTTTTGTAGCTTCTAGTGTGTTCCTCAAAATGCAATTTTTTTAAATAACTTGTATTTTTAATTTTCTGATGTTTTGTTTTATTTGTTTTCCTCTTTCTCTTTGGGTTTGAGGATGGAAAGTCGGATAACTCCATTAAAAAACAACCAAACAAAATAAATACTGATCTTTATGATCTTTATTTAATGGAATCATTAACAATAGTTTTGAAGATATTTTTTTCCCCACATTGTTGAAGCTGCAGATACAGTATGGTCATACAGGCAGGTCAGGACATGGGTCTGGAAAGTGCTAAACAAAAGCCTTATTCTTTAGCATCGAAGTTTTCAGAAAAGTTGAGTTGACAGGAAAAAATCCAATTGAACAGAATTTAATACCAACTGTCTTCAGCCATGTGAAGGTGTAATCATCATAAAGAAAACCAAACTGTTAGAGATAAAACATATGTTCTTTTTCTTTTTTCTTTTTTTTTTTTTACTTTAAATACCTCATATAGTTCAAGTCCAAGCTCAGTGTAATGTCTATGTTGATGATCTATCTAAAACCCAAAAACATTCTGTTTGAAATGAAAGAGAAAAACGGGAAATCCTTGCGCTGCAGCAACGGGAGCAAGAACATTTCTGGCATTTTTCTTGAAAAATGTATGATTATTTGATTTTCTTAATAGTTGTCAATTTTACTTTATGTTGTTTGACTAATCAATTTATCGACTATTCGTCTCAGGTCTAATTCAGTTAAAGAATTCAAATTCAAAATGAAATGAAATGTCTGATTATAAAGATACAGTAGTTTTGATGGAGTGGAAGTAAAAATGGCAGTATGCTAAGATGCTCACAATGTCAATGTCAATGTCTTGATGGCTGTGGCTCAGGAGGTAGAGCGGGTCGTCCACTAATTACAGGGCCGGCGGTTCAATCCCCGACTCCTCCTCTCTGTGTGTCGAAGTGTCCTTGGGGAAGCTGCTGAACCCCACTTCCCCCCTGATGGCTGTTCCATCAGTGTGTGACTGTGATATATGAATGTGTGTGTGTGTGTGAATGTGGCAAGTATTGTAAAGCGCTTTGAGTGGTAGAAAGTGCAAGTCCATTTACCAATGTCTGACAAGAGCTTAGTTTAGCATTTTAGCATGCTTACATTAGCTGCCATGCAAATTAGCAGTAAACACAAAGAAGCTGAGGCTGAAGTATTCGGTCATAAACCCAAATACCTGATGGTGGTGCTAGAGGACACGTAAAGGGATCAACTACATTTAATCCTGAGCGAAGCATGGATGTCTGAACCAGATTTAATGATTGTTCACCCAATAGTTGTTGAGCTATTTCACCAACGGACTGGCATCATCATCCCTTCAGCCTTCCTGCTTGTGTTACTCAAAACAACACAAGGGACTTTTTATCCCTTAGTGGGCTTTATGGATCAAAAATAGTATTAAAAATATTTTTTTAAGTTTTTATAAGTTTTATAAGATTTACAAATGTAAATAAGATTCGGAGCCGAACGGAAAGCAATGAAATATAGTTGTAGAAGGTGAAGCTCTGCTCAAAGATCAAATGTAGTGAAGTCTCTCAAATGTCCAAATGAGACAGTAGTATTGGAGTACACCAAAATTGACCTATTTTATCCCCTTACTACAAATGAATGATTTTATCATATTAATTATTTCCACTGCTGACAAAAACACATTGAATGCCCTGTTTCCATGCATCTCAGCACTAATTCTAGCTGTGGCATTGTGAGGCAGGCTGCAAATAACTTTACACTTCCTTCCAACATGACTTGTTTGCTTATCTCTGACTGCTGTAACTGGTTGAACTTGTGCTCTATTGAAGGACAAAGTCAAATGTAACAAAACCAGTATTGTACTGCTTTGAAGAGACTAAATGGTGTTTTGAAACATACTTTTTAACAATCGTAACATTATAACAACAAAAATATGTAGAAAATTTGACAGCATGTATATGTTTTGATCTTCACTTTTAGTGGCCAAATTGTCAGTAAAACTTTTGCCATATATTTGTCTTATTCCGCAGAGGTGGAATTTAGTTTGAGACATCACTCTTTTGTCATATAAACGATCTTTGCCTGTCAGACTGCCGTCACGTGAGGAAGCTGTGTTCGCGAGTCGACCGCTATTGGCTTAGAGGAGCGAGAATGGATTGTTATTGGTCCGTACCTCTCCTTACATCATCACCGCCCGGTCTGCATTATTGTTTACGTGTGTTTGTGTTTTTCTGTCCAGATGTGCTTCAGGTCTGTAGCCGGTTAGCTAACGGTGGAAGTGAAGCTGCTCAGTGTTCATTTAACGTCACCCCTGAAGCTGCTCAATGTGAAACGTGAGAAGAACAGGCAGTTTCAGGTTAATGATGAGTCATTTTTAACGGGATGGTTTTTCAGCATCTCACTTTCGTTATGTGTCGTTCATTTTACTGATTAGCCGTTTAAATGTAAGGGGAGAGATGTAATGACTGAAATCCCCTCTGCTCCTCTTGGGTGGCTGTGTTTCGGTTTCACTCCCTCTCTGATGCTGTTCCTCCCTCTGACACAGCTCTAGTGTCACCTGATTACAAAGTTACCGACACCGAGGTGGATATCTTTTTTATCACACAGAAGAAGAACGGACATTAAGTCCATGAACAGAAAGTAACGTCTGAATAATTGAACCGAGTGTTATTGTGTTGTCATCGGCTGCTTCTGAAGTGAAACAGTGGGTGTAACTTTGATTCAGCCCGTTTGAAGCTAATGAAGGCGCGGGTGGAGTTTTTCCTTTAAACGACTGTGTCGCGATGTCGGACACTGAGAGGTCTCTGCCGGCCCTCCGGAAGCTCAGCTATGCGGTGGGGCACTTTCTGAACGACCTGTGCGCGTCCATGTGGTTCACGTACCTGCTGGTCTTCTACCACTCAGTGCTGGGATTCCAGAACACCAATGCGGGTCAGTCTTTGTTTTCATACAGACTGTTTGCACTTGTATTGGAGTCATATTTGCCCAGGAGGATCTCTACTCTGACTCCAGTAATAGAGTTGTGTACTCTGTCCACCTCTGATTATTAAAGTATATTACTGCAGTGATACTGTCTCACTGTGGTGCAGGTCTGTTGCTGCTGGTCGGGCAGATAGCTGATGGTATCTGTACGCCTCTGATTGGCTACGAGTCTGACAGAAACCCTGGATGTGGGAACTACGGCAAGAGGAAGACATGGCACTTAGTTGGTAAGTCAGACAGAAAGATGGAAGGTATTACACTATGACCCCTCTTTACTGCCCCACGGGTTCCAGGAATGATTTACCCTTCAATGCTAAATTTTAACTTCAGATAATACAGCTGTTCCATACAGGAAACTCAAATAATCTCTCAGGTCCAGGTAGAGAGATAACACATTTTTACAGCTCCATGTTCCTTTCCATCAATATACAAAATTTAACATCTCAATACAGTCAAGCCCAAAATTGCGATATATCATATTAATGCAGGGTGGGAATGGTGGGGTGTTTTTTTAAAATATGTAATTATATTATTTTATTTTATGTTTCAAGTGTTTTTTCTAATATATAATAATATTATTCTTATTATTGTTGTTATAGTAATGTTGTTATAAATAATATGTGATCTTACAAACAGCAGTTCAGTGTTTTATTTGTCACATGTCACAATGTACAGTAAGCAGAGCAGTGAAATGAGGGTCGGACTCAGCAGCAGAAAAAAACCTTTTTCTCAAAAAATATTGCATATGGCGGAAAATGTTGCAATATACAAGCCTAATACTGATACACGCTGACACAAATTGATATAAGTTTTAAAAGTAGTAGCAGTCTGAGTGTTCCACATAGTGCTGATATCCTGCAGTCAACCAGTGGAAGGTAAAAGTTAATCAGAAGTCCAGTGTCTGTTCGTCAGAGTTTTCAACTCTAGAATAAATGATATTAATGCCACGGGATCGTCTGAATGAAAGCCAATACAAAACTAAGACAGTGTTTAGATTTATGTTGGAATGGAAAATGGAGCTGGTACCTGTTGTTTGTGTCAGTCAGCTGTTCTGCACATGCTATCATGAAGGGTAAACATGTAACTTCTTTAAAAAACTGCTGTCTGGACTGTTGGCTGTTATTGATCCAGTTCAGGTCAGACCAAGTTTTTCAAGACTCAGTAATGAGAGCTCTCAGAGGGGGGTATAAGTGGTCTAGAGGTGATCTGTCCTTGTAACTTTGCCCCTACACAAATTAAATGACACAATATATTAGTGTACTACACAATAAATTTAAGATAACAATTGGGCTCATGAACGTAGTGTCAAGTTATAACTAATAACACAGACTTAGTGTAATTACAATACTACATATTACTGATGTATAACTGACCCTGTTACACCTGACAGGTAAAAGTAACATAGTGACACACAGGTAAAGCTAGACTGTAAAAGGCCTGCGAGGTCATATCTACTGTAACAGAAGAGCTAACATTATCACAATTCACACAACCTCAGGTTGGTCATTGAGGGACAGGATGGCTATTTCTTTGCTTTGTCTTATAATAAATATTTAATTGTCTAAAATCCCAAATGTCCCGTACCATCAATTTTCATATTGTAGTAACGGCCACAACTTTAATACGAGGCATCAAGAGGTTGTTCTCTACTTCCTGTCTCAAAAACTAATGAGAGGCAGCTACTGTTCTGTACAGAGGAATGAAAACATGGAATGATTTGCTATCAAATATTTCACATTTAACAAGTCATAGTGTTTTTAAAAGAAGTGAATGGCACAGGACACCAGCCCCTCTACAAATAGGACATGTTTTACCACATAATATGTGACTACATGATCATTAATGAGGAACTTTTTTTAACCTTATTTTATTCTTTTTTTTTCTTCAGTCACTGTCTACACTGTTTTTAATGGTATTATTGTTATTTTTGAGCTGTACCAAATGTTTTACTGACTGTTTAGATAAAGTGTGGGAACTCATCATTGTTGTTATTGTTTTCAGTAGTGTTACTGTCATTTATATTTGTTGTTATTTTCTTGTTCCTTTTTTGTCTCTGATTTTAATTTACATTATTGTTTTTGCATTATGATGTCATGTTTATTGGAGTGGGCCTCAGGGAGAGAAGTCGTGACCTTGGCAGTGGCTGATGAGGATCCAAATGAATAGAAATTGTGTTCGGCAGAAGGTTTTTATATCCCAGTGTGTTTGACAGTGTAACACAACAGAACATCACTGAGCCTCATGCTCAGATGCAGTGGGTGAAAAGTGCTTTTGACAACTTCAGTGGACTCCATTACCCATAAATCATGTGATGCAGGGTCAGATATCTGGATGTGTTAGTGTGTGTGCAGATGTTGTGAAGAGGTTCTGGTGACGCCTGCTCTGAAGTTTGAGTTGCGTTTCCTGTGTGGATGTGACTGAGCTCATCTGCTGCCAGAGGATTAGAGATGAAGAGTTTTACAAACAGTATAAAATTCCTGTTTTTCTGCCCTGTGTGTTGTGTGTGGTGTGACGTGTGTGTGTGTCTGTCTGTGTGTGTGTGTCTGTGTGTGTGTGTGTGTGTGTGTGTGTGTGTGTGTGTGTGTGTGTGTGTGTGTGTGTGTGTGTGTGTGTGTGTGTGTGTGTGTGTGTGTGTGTGTTATCCAGGCACCCTGAGCGTGATGCTATCCTTCACCTTCATCTTCAACCAGTGTCTGGGCTGTGACTCTCTCACCCCTCAGTGGGCCAGCCTCATCTACTTCGTCCCCTTCATCATCATCTTTCAGTTCGGCTGGGCCGCCACGCAGATCTCCCACCTGTCCCTGATCCCAGAGCTGGTCACCTGTGAGCACGCTAAAGTCGAACTCACTGCATACAGGTACACTACACACAGTACACACAGTACACACAGCACGGGTGATCTGCTGGTTCTGAGTACAGTCTCTCCTCTGTGTGTTTGTAGATATGCGTTCACAGTGATTGCCAACATCACGGTGTACGCAGTGGCCTACCTGCTGTTCCATGTGCAGGCCAGAGAGGACGACGACCCGCTCAGCGACGCACTCGGACCAGCAGACATCCCCATCTTCAGGGTGAGGAGGATGGGCCCTCTGAACAGAACACTACTCTGTGAAATCACATTAAAATACATATTTTGACTCAGTCTTACCAACAATGTCCTCCACCAGCCACAGAACCTTGTCTTTGGTGAACAGGTGGCGAACGACAACTTGAATGATGTGTGTGTTTCATTACAGTGTGTCGCAGTCTCTGACACGGCACTGTATCGTTTACTTCATTAATCATTTAAATCTCCCGACATGGCAGCAGAATGGGTCAGGGTCTAATGAGTGTGGCAGCCACCCTCAGGACATTATTTTTTAGCAGAAGTCTGCACTTCATTTCCTCGGAGGTGAAGTTTTCTTCTCATCAGTGTCTGTCCTCCTCATCTGTCTGCTGCGTACACCAGTCACCAAAAGTATAAAAGTTATTTCAGAGAGGCAAAATTCAAAGAACGGCTCAAAGGATAATTAATGATTTTTTTTTTTGACATAGTGTGAACAGAGGAATCTCTGGCACTGAGACCCCATCATGACATCATACAGGAATCTCCCTCTGATGGAGTCTAGGCACTGGTGGTGGTGGAGGAGTTGAGCTGTAGCTGAGGATCTGGATGGATGGATGTGATGTGTATCAGGATTTCTGATTCGATTAAATCTGACACTGTAATAACACCATGACAAGTCTGACAGAGGTAAAGGTGAGAAGAGTGAACACCCTGGAAGCTCAACAAGGAAACAACAGAAAAATGTAAATAAAGGAGTGAGAGTAAAGACTTCCTTCCTGGTTGAATGTTTGCCACCTGTGCTGTGTGACCAGTTCCCTGTGTGTTCTCACTGTGTCTAGATGCGACACTTGCACTTTACGAGCAGCAGTGGAGCTGCATGAGTCTGCACGTAAAAAAAGAGGAAGCTTAAACTGAAAATCAATCACACACAGGGGAAGTTATGAAAGTAAATACATGTTATCTGCCAGTTGAATCAAATGTGATTTTAAGTCAATCAGGAAAGAGAAAAGTTAACATGACTTCAGTGTTGACCCTGCCAATAAGACAGATACAGGGAAAGGCTGGCTGCTGTGGAGGAGGTGGGGTGGTTGGTGGATAGACTGCAGCAGAGAGAGACAGAGTGGATTAAACATTCTTCAGCTGAGATGATCATTGGATGAGAGGAACAGATCCCAGTGAAATCATTGGATAAGAAAAGAGAGGTGGAACCTCACTGTGATGACAGAACAGGCTGACAGTCTTTCTGCTTGAAGAAAGCTTCATATATTTCATTTAGTGCAGTGATATCTTTTTAGACTGTCAGTATAATGGAGAACATGATGATTGGTTTTTTCATCCCATTAAATGGCACTTAGTGTTTTCTATGAAGAGGTCAGGGGTTTTTATTTGAGTATTTATCACTATTGATGCTGTTGGTTTTGCATCACAACAGAGACGTTGTATGTTTTAAGTTGAGTCGGCGACAGGCTGCACCCACACAGTGAAGGAGCCGGCTGTGTCACAGACTCTGACCTGTGCTGTGTTTAATGACAGAATCTGGCGTTGATCGTGCTGGGCATCGGCGCTCTATTCTCCATCTTCTTCCACCTGGGAACCAGGGAGTGGAAACGTGGAGCTGGAGGGGAGGCTGGAGGAGACGAGGAGGGGAGGAGGAGGAGGACAATGGAGGAGGAAGAGGAAGAGGGGGAGTGCAGGCCACTGATCCCTCGCCCACAGACCTCCTCATCTCTTCTTCAGTGGAAATGTTGGCTGCAGCAGCCGTCCTTCTACCAGGTAGGAGGAGTCAACCACACTGAACCACATCCTAATCTCTACTGTTATCAAAATAACACACACCAGAGCCTCGACTTCACCTTAACTTCACCTAAACTTCACCTCAACTTCACCTCAACTTCACCTCAACTTCTCCTAAACTTCACCTCAACTTCACTTCAACTTCTCCTAAACTTCTCCTCAACTTCACCTCAACTTCACTTCAACTTCACCTAAACTTCACCTCAACTTCACCTCAACTTCACCTCAACTTCTCCTAAACTTCACCTCAACTTCACTTCAACTTCTCCTAAACTTCTCCTCAACTTCACCTCAACTTCACTTCAACTTCACCTCAACTTCACCTCAACTTCACTTCAACTTCACCTCAACTTCACTTCAACTTCACCTCAACTTCTCCTCAACTTCACTTCAACTTCACCTCAACTTCACTTCAACTTCACCTCAACTTCACCTCAACTTCTTCTCAACTTCACCTCAATCTCTCCTCAGCTTCTCATCAACTTCTCCTAAACTTCTCTTAACCTTCACTTCAGCTTCTCCTAACTTTCACCTCAACTTCACCTGAAGTTGCTCCTCTCATCACGCAGAATAAGTTTTTTTAAATGAGCAGTTTGTTGTTTCATCTGTTTTATTTAGTCAAACATATAACAGAGTTTTCAGTGACAGATGTGTGTGTTCCTGTGTGTCTCTGTAGGTGGCCTTACTCTACATGTCCACCAGGTTAATAGTGAATCTGTCTCAGACCTACATCTCAATGTATCTGATTAACACTCTGGGGCTGCCAAAGGTAAAACACAATCCTCATATGTTTGATATTTTATATGAAATGTTCTTTTCCTGAACATGTTTCTCTCCTCCTCTTGTTCCCTCTAACAGAAGTTCATAGCGACCATCCCGTTAGTGATGTACCTGAGTGGCTTCCTGTCCTCCTTCATCATGAAGCCTCTCAGTAAACTCATTGGAAAATGTGTAAGTAGAACCTCACACCTCAGCCTGGTTCCACACCTCTGAATCTCAGGTCAGCAGAGGTAGTCCAGTCCAGCAGACTACTTTCACCTTTGACCCTGAATCAATATAAAGAATAAGTCAGGCCATGGCCGAGTTCATTAGGAATCTCTGTTTTATCGTGTCTCCGCCTAATAAGTTTGAAATATACCGGGCCTCCATATTTTGTTGACGATGAGTACCTTCCCTCCTCAGCACACTTGTCACCACACATACACATGCCCTTTAAAAATACAAATGGGTTCCCTCTTTACTTGTATACACTGCAGTGAACTACAATTTTAAAGCTTTGGCCATTTTATCATGCATTCTTCATTCAGTGTTCATCCAATTAATGTATGTGTCCAGAATTCCTACCACAGATAAATATCTATAAATCTGCTTAATTCAGGTGCCTGAGTCAAAGTAATCCAGTGACTGTTGTATGTATCCATGGTTACAGTGCAAACAGAACCTGCCAGAAGCTCATGCAGCAACTTCTCATGGTGCAGATTTGCCAATCATATAGGTAAAACAATGTGGCTCAGGTGTAACCCACACAAATCACATTCATCCCAGATGCAAATAAGAAAATGAAAAATAACATGGCAGTGAAGTGCTGAGGTTCAAAATGTCCCATCAACATGGCTCCTACACCTCTGGAGATGAAAGATAATATCTTTATCTTAAATAACTCTCCTCCTCCATTCATACACAGATCACTGCTCCGTGTCAAACCTTTGGACTTACAGAGAAAAACAACAACAACTTTAAATTATTCTGAAAACAACAATAAAGTCAATCCAGACAAAAGTAACTGGCAACCATTCTGATAATTCATTAGTCATTTTATTTTTTAAACAAATACCGAACATTATCTGGTTTCAGTTTTTCGTTCTCGTGTGTGAGTGTTGCTCTCACTGTTGCTCGGGCTGAAGAAGGATCACTCTGGGCTCCCGGAAATTGTGACATTGTTACATTTCTCACACTTCTGACATTTTATAGACCAAGAAAATAATCTGCAGATTTATGATTATCAAATTACTTGTTAGTTGCAGCTCTATAACAATATATGAAATGATTATCTAAGACATATAGTAACTATGTCAGAAGCCTTTAAAGGACTAAAAACATATTTTATCAATCAGCTTCTGACGGGTCGCTTATCTCACCTCAGACATTCATGTATTTCTTCTACTTCTTCTTTTGTTTGAAGTGGGCGGTGACGTGTCTCAACGCTCTGTACCAATCAGAATTCAGTACCATTCAAATCCAAATGTGATGACAGTTGTGGGGTTGTTTCCTCATGTTGCTACGCAACAATCTGATCAAATCTGATCAAACCACACACACACAATCCTGATGATGCAGATTAACTGAATCGTAACCTCTTTATAAATAATATCTAAGGATGTTTGATGCTTATTTCATTGTGAATATTTATAATATAATATTGACTACATATGTAACTATATCTAATAAAGAAATACTTTAATGTTTTTGGGTCTTTTTGAATCAGGAGAAGTTTTGAATAACTAAAACCTCTATTGTTATTATTATTTTTATCATTATTATTATTTTATATTATTATTTTGTCTTTGTCATTGATTGAACAGGGTAGAAAACATTAGAAACCCTTCTCAGTGTGATGCAGTCCACTAACCTGAGAGGTGGAGGTTGAGTGACTGGTTCTCTGTGGTTTCATTGAGAAAACAACTCTTCAGTGTGTTGATCCTGATCTGGTTCTGTGTCTACAGTTAGATTTCACCAGAGCTGGATCTGAACCAGCACATGTCATGCTTTGTGTGTGTCTCTCCTCTGACTGGTCCAGCTCACCTATTTCGTGGGCCTGCTGCTGATCATGGGGTTCTCCTACTGGGTGCTGGTGGATGACAAGATGGGTCAGAGGGTGTACGGGGCAGCGGTGCTGCTGGGGGCCGGCTCGGCCACCATCCTGGTCATATCGCTTGCCATGACCGCTGAGCTCATCGCCGATCAGACTGTAAGTGTGTGTGGGTGTGTGTGAGAGAGAGAGAGAGGGGGACGTTGGTGTGATATAACCTCACTGATAGTGTCTGTCCACTGTCTTCAGCTCTGTGTCTCTGTCTCTGCAGCAAAGTGGAGCATTTGTTTATGGAGCCATGAGCTTCACTGATAAGTTGGCTAATGGAGCAGCTGTGATGATCATACAGGCAGTGCATCCTTGCCAGTTAGTACACACACACACACACACACACACACACACACACACATACACACACACACACACACTTAGAAAGTTTATTGTTAGATGTATCCCACCTTCATTAACATAGGATTTATTGCAGGACTGCTAAGGACATCAGTTTTAGCATCAGTGTTCCTAATAAACTGGTGACTGAGTGTATGCTATGTTAATGTTAGTCATTATAGGCCCTCTGCTAACATTAGGTTAGAAAGGTTCAATGATACCATAGTTACATTTTTCATATTAAAATTAGCTTTATTGACATGACCATGATTAAAGCGACTGCACACTGACTTTACACTGACTTTACGCCCCTCCATGTTAACAGATGGGACATGAGATCAGTATGTTTCTGCAGTACCAGAGGCTGCAGATTCAGGACTTTCAGGACTGAAATCCTGAGACTGCATTTCTAGGACCCTAGGTTTTCGCTACAACGCCAAATTGGTTAGGGTTAGCATTGCTTAGCTATCTTTGTGTTTATAATCCATCCTCTGAGCAGCTGCTTCTTCAGGGCAGACTGGAGGCCACAGTGACTCAGTATCAAAAGGTGACGAGAGAGGAGGAGCTAGCTGGTTAGCTTGCTAACTGCAGTAGAAGAAAAGAAACATGATAGAAATAAAAGCAAAACAAGAGTTAACATTGGTGTTTGTTTCCAGCTCTGGAGACAGCTCTTGGTGAATAAGGGAATGAAGTCTGATGCTGAACTCAGATGTTAATGCGGAGGTTAGCTTTGTAGCAATAGCAAAACTTACAAATAGCTCCTTTAACAACAACAAAAAGTACATACACTATACAACATACACTACAATACAATACACAATTATATTACCAAACTACATGGTATACTATAATGAAAGATAAATATTGTCCAGACAAATTAAAAAGTGGAAGAATATATATGAGAAGATCAGATTGTTAAGAGGAGCAGAATTAACTCATGAGGATTTAGAATGTGAACGTGCAGTTTCTCCTCCAGACTGTGACGTGCTCTAACATGTTGATGTCTCTCTCTCTCAGTACTGTGTTGTGTTGCCCGGCCTGTGTGTGGTTCTATCATTACATCATGGTCATAGTGACAGGGGGCATGGCTGTCATCGCAGCTTTGGCCCTCTGCTCCATCCTCATCTGGCCAATCAGGATCAGACCCCGTGAGTTGTACAGCTACACTAGAATGTGTTTGTGTAGTGTTTAGTTTATCTGCATATTGATCTGATTCACAGCTTCTTTCCTGTGTGTGTGTGTGTGTCTCTAGGGGGTGTGTCGGTCATCTCTGAAGATGCAGCCAGAGTCAACTAATAGCCCCTCCCCCACCCTCCATCAAACTGACTCCTGCTTGGACAGGTCTCACCTGGAGGAGCATCTTTTACTTTTCTTTCTGTTTTAGATGAATTTTTAGTTTTTCAGGGAGAAGTCTCAGGAGGATTCTGATTGGCTGCTGCAGATTTAGCAGCTGTGTTAAAGTTACAGGATCAAGCAGCTTTTTTTTTTTTTAACTTACAGTAACTGACAGTTTCAGTCATTTACAGCCTGGATCTAGTTTTTCCATAATTTTCCAGGAAGTCTTTGACTGCTCACAGAATGTTAATCACAAACATCAGAGTAATGTAAGTTCATTTCATTACAGTAAAACGAACACCTGAAGTCAGCTGATTACAAGACGTTGGTGAGAGAGAGAGAATTGTGAAAGAATGAGGCGTAATGAAAACGTCTTCCTGATTGAGCTTCATGAATCGATTGATGGAAAATTAATCTATAACTATTCTGATAAAGAACAATTTTTTGTCATTTTTCAGTATTTACTGGCTTTAGCCTCCTAAATATAAAGATCTGCTGCTTTTGTTTTATCTTATTGTAAACTGGATGTTTCCTGGACTGTTGGTCCAGTGATTTAAAGGCGTCTGTTTCAGCTCTCAGGAGATGTGATGAGCATTTTCACACGTTTCTGACATTTTATGGAAAAAAAATGATGAAAAGAGAAAAATGAGCTTTACAGTGTAGTGATGCAGGCAAAGGAAGGTTGATGGCAATTATACAGAACTTTGGAAAATGATGAGAAAACAGGCTCCAGGATCAAGAAGTTTATTTTGCAGCATGTCTGCTGTATTAGACCGTGCAGAGCAGCAGAGGATACACAGACACTGTGAGCACAGCTGAGCTCAGTGTGGATCACTCCACATGACAAAGGGAACTATCTCTCTGCTGCTGCACAACATCTGATGAGGGACAAAAACCATGTGATGAAGGGAACTAGATTCAGTGTGTGGCATCTTCAAATGGTCCAGCTGAGAAACACCAAAGAAGAAGAAGCATAGACCACTTTAAATCCTGTCAGTATTTAACAACATCAGCTCGTTAGTGACGCTGATGAGACAGAAAACTAAATTCCACAAATCTCTCCTGTGATCTGTCATTAAAGGGTCATTGCACTACATTTTCTTCAACACAACGGCACATTGTTAAACTGCTACATTTACAGTGGCACAGACTATCAGTGGTCACGTGAAAACTGACCTTGAGATCTACAGAGTGAAGCCTCGCTGCAACGCACAGATGGCACTTAAAAGAAAAGAAATTAACCTTGCACTAACCATAAATGTTACTGTTGGAGCAAAAACAAATCAGTCAGTTCATCTTTTCTCAGCTGACTGAAAGGCAGCCCCTTCACAGGCTGTTGGGTCAGTTAACATGCACTTGTTAATCTGGCTAAGAGCTTGTGTCCCAGTAAAGTCTCATTTACTGGAGCTGTATAGTTGTTTTAAAGCTGGTGCAGTGGGCAGGAGGGATTCTGGGAACAACTTCCTTTTATGTAGAAATGTTTCTATTTTGATCATTTTCTTTGTTTATAATCAAACCAAATGTAAATGAACACAACAAATGTTTTTATAATCAACACAAACTGGAAAATCAGAATGGGCTATAAAGTCAGTACTATCAATAGCATCCATATCATATGTGAATATCAATATAAGGGAATCACACTAGTAAATCACCAGAGTGGGTACTGGTGTTTGACTGGAAGCTATGGGAAATCTGTGTTCACTTTCAGTTCAGTACAAAACAGGTCTTCTGTCATGTATTCTGTGTGTTTGCAGGACTTCTGTGATTGTGCTGTTGTTTTATAAAGGGACTCACTAAATAAGTTTCATCTGGTGAAACTGAAGCTGTGTCTGTGTTTGACTTCAATTCAGAACTGTTTGTCATTTACATCAGAGCATTAAGTGAAGCACATTAACAGTCATCATGAGAGAAAACGTTCAATAAAAATGAAGACAGGCATTTCAGTGACAACTGGGCAAATTCATTCAGTTGGGGAAGATGATGTGATCAACTAGAATCACCTCCTCCTGGTTGTTTCCTCCACCAACCAGCCAAGTGACAGAAAACATGGTCACAGTCTCTCCTTCCTGAGCTACAGTGTTAATAATGACATCATGAACATTATGACATCACAGAGAAGTTGACGTTTGACCTTTTAGATATAAAGTGTCATCACTTCATCATTTTATCCTATTGGACATTTGAGTTAAATTGTGTCATAATTAGGGAATCAGTTCTTGAGTTATGGCCAAGAATGTGTTTTGGGAGGTCACAGTGACCTTTGACCTTTGACCACCACATTCTTATCAGTTCATCCTTAAGTTTAAAACTGCCTTTTCCATCTGATGCCAATTGCTCTGTCACTTTTGTATTGTTTTTATTTTTCTTAATGTGTTTTTAATCTCAATTTGTGTAACTCTGTTCGGTGTCCTTTAAATAAAATGTATTATTATTATTATTATTATTAAGCATAAAATCCATCATGGAGAACTTTATGGTCCAAGACGCTTTTTGGTAGAGCTGGACTTGTGTGTCAGATTTCAAGTCAATCAGACTTATTGTGTGAGGGGTGTGGCCTGCCAGTTCTTGATTTTCGCATAAAGCTGTAACATAACAAAATGTGACAAACTGAAGGGGTCTGAATGGAACTCTGAATGCTCTGTATTACTGAGTGTTTTCATATGAAGACTGAGATCTGAGAATATCCTGGAGTGTTATTCTCACAACACATTGACACACACTCCCTGCCTAGATCACACATCAGACAGCTGTAATGTTTCCCATTTTGTTTGAATTGGCAATACTTATAATTGGCAATACAAATAATGAATGACACTTGGAAAACAAACTGGAGATCATCACCTGCCTGATCCAATCTAAGGATTCAGCTACAGATCGGTCATGAAACTGTCTGTGCCTCTACTTACTGAAAATGACTGACGTGACTGGTGGTTGTCATATAATAAAATGAGGAAGTCAAAATCTGTCTGGTGCTTCACAGGCAGCAGAGCGTTCCTTCCTGGTTTGACTGGTTTGTCTTGTGTAGACAAGAAAATTCGACTGAATACTATAGGTCTTATCACTTATATTGTGCAGATAAACAAAGAATTAACAGAACACAGGGGCAGAATCTCTGCTTTCAAGGCATACATTTGATATGTCAAATGTTTTATCATCTATCATCCAAATCAGAGGTTCAAGTATTTAATACTGTAAACCCCTGCAAAGATCAGGCCAAGTCTGTCAGTGTGGCCTCCTGAACTACAGACAACGTAGTGAACGGTTATCATCAGAGGTCAAAAATATAGTTGAACAATAAATAATAATGTCAGTCAAAGATGGAGTGTTAAAAGGAATGTAAAGCTTCATAACTGCCAGTCTCTTAAAAAAAACCTTTTATCTCTCTGGCTGTTCTCTGACATCACTCCATGTTTGCACTGCAGTTTCTGTCCATTTTATTTCAGTGGCAGATTGTGAGTGTGTGAATGTATCCACTATATAGTCACCTCAACAATGGAACGAAAAAAGTAGTGTATGTGACATGAATGCTGCAAATAATTCCATAATACAAATACATGCTGCATTTTATACATGTGAAAATTACCGTCACACATCTGTGATGCCAAATCATGTGAATGAGTGTAGAAAGGAGCGATTTCAGATGCTTCAATCACATCATCTTCAACTTCCAAGTGTCCGTCTCTTCATCAAAAACCTCAATAGAAACAAGTCTCTGACTTTATTGTGTCATCCTTCACATTTTGTTTATGTGATTTATTGTGTCTTTTCTCATATTGTCAAAGAAACGGAACTCAAAACTAAAAGTATCGTTAGCTTGTTACCATTGCTAGCGTTAGCTTGTTCGTTAAAATACTGAAAGGAGCTATTTGTAAATTTTGATATTGCTACATAGCTAACGTTAGCATTAAAATCTATTTACTTACTACTTGCTAAGAGCTTCAGTCATTCTTGAAAACTTACAAACAGCTTCTGTAACAAGGGTTTATGCAGTGCTGCTTCAGCAGTATATGGGTAATTAAACTGCTCTGGTTTAGTTTTCTGAAGAAAGGCTGGTGCTCAGTGTGTTTAGCGACCGATGTTTTCAGGTTAGCTAGTTTACGTCATGGCTTACATACATAGGAAATGTGGTCAGGAAAAGGAAATGTTGCATGGGGAACAGGTGGGTGAAAGCTTTATAAATAACTTTCATTACACTCCATTTCAAGTAACAAAATTATTTGCTGATGAGATCTGTTATATTTCTAACTCATCTGATTTCCTGTCTTTTGTCAGTTGAACAGCAGCAACAATTACTTATTTAAGTAAGTATTATTATTACTTTAATAATAATATTCTCTTCTATCTAAATAATTATCAGTAAAGTGTTTGATTCCTTCTTGTTGTGTGATACATTCAATATTTAAGAAGCACATGAATCCTGGTTTCTCCTCCTCTGCGTTATGTTTTCCTCCAGTGTTCTCTCCTCGTGTCAGGGAGCGCTAGCGTTCATCTTCTCCTGGCAGCTGTCCCACAAGTTCAGCAGTCTGTTGTCCTTGTTGGTGCAGAAGTCGGTGAAGTCTCTGAGCAGGCGATCGGCCAGCCTCTCGTCACCCAGCATGCCCGTCCTCCAGGCTTTTGTCAGCATGGTGTTGTAGGCCCAGTAGTAACCGACCCGCTCCTCGCCGCCGAACGGCCCGTGGCTGTTGGAGGTGGTGGAGTTTCTGCGCCGGCGTTGCTGCCCACTGGAGTACTTTCTCTTGGAGTACGGCAGCTGCAGGAACACGGTCCCTGACAGAGAAGAAGCAGTGTGGGATTTAGGCTTCACAGTGTTTAGTGATCAAAAAGTGGTTTGTGTGTTTTCAGATGAGATGTGACAAACCTGTTACGTGAATATACTGGGGCTTGTTCTCAGACGGGAAATTAAAAGCAGAAGCAGAAAACTTGTCATGCACGAAGCCAAATCTGGAAGAAAGAGAACAACGTTTAGCCTACACATTTTTGCAGAATGTAAAATTCTGAAAGTTCAAAAATTCAGAAATTGTTTTTGGTATGAAGTGATATTTGTGCTTCATTCCTAAGCCAGCAGGAGTTTGTGTAAGGACGTAAAAAATATATTGTGTTTAAGAAAAGTGTTATTCAAACTTCTTGGTTAACTTTTCATTTGTTATAAATATATTTATTTTAAGGCTTTAACAGTTACTATGAATTGAATAAAATGAATAAATCTAAATCTAAAGTACAATCTGTTTAACAGAGTGTAGTGCATCTAATTTTCAAATAATGTTTATAAGGTGATTAACAGAGTTAATACATTTTTTACAGGCACTCATAAGCACCACTTGCTTAAAACAATAAAGATAGAGTTAAAGTTCAGTTGCTTATAGCCGGAAGGAAAACACAAAATGACTGTAATGCTTTGGCTGTGTAGCTGGTAATCCTAACAGCTAGATTAGCTATTGTTTATCCAGCAGTGTGTGTAACCGAACACAATAAACTGTTACTTCCCCCAGTGCGTCTTTATCTACCTAGTAGTCAACAATAACCTGGAGGCAATCAGAAACAATCTCTTCCATTTTTCTGATTGGCTGTAATTGTGTACTTACAGTTATAGTCACAACTTTACAGACACTTAGGTTGAAGTCATGAAAACTCAACAACTCCACAGATTTCATGTTATCAAACTATAGTTTTGGTAAGTCAGCAAGGTCATCATCTGTGTTGTGCATGACACAAGTCATTTGTTTCCAGACAGATTGTTTCACTTTCAATTTTCTCTATCACACCTCCAGTGGGTCAGAAGTTTACATGCACTAAGTTGACTGTGCCTTTAAACTATCTATAACTAAATATCTATATCCACAGTAAAGAATCCTGTATCAACATAACCTGAGAGGCTGCTCAGCATGAAGACAATGCTCCACAATCAACATAAAAAAGCCAGACTACAGTTTAAACTGCACATGAGACAAAGATCTTACTGTCTGGAGAAATGTCTCTGTGGTCTGATGAAACTCAAACTGAACTTTTTGGCCATAATGACCATCATGGAGAAGAAAGCTGAGGCTTGGAAACAGAAGAACATTATCCCAACTGTGGTGCAGGGGGGCGACAGCATCATGTTGTGTGGGGCTTTGCTGCAGGAGGGACTGTTGCACTTCAAAAAATAGATGGCATAATGAGGAAGGAAAATCATGTGGATATACTGGAGCAACATCTCAAAACATCAGCCAGGAAGTTAAAGCTCGGTTGCAAACGGGTCCACATGGACAATGACCCCAAGCATAGTTCCAAAGTTGTGGCAAAATGGCTTGAGTACAACACAGTCAGAGTACTGGAGTGGCCATCACAAAGCCCCCACTTAAGTCCAATAGAAAATGTGTGTGCAGAACTGAAAAGACATGTGAGCAATGAGGCCTCAATCCTGACTGAGTTCACCTGTTCTGTGGAGGAATGGACAACGATTCAAGCTACTTACTGTGAGAAGCTTGAGGCTGCCTGAGATGTTTGACCCAAAACAGTTTAAAGACAAAGCCACCAAATACTAACAAGTGTCTGTAAACTTCTGACATATTCTCTCTACTATCATTCTGACATTTCACATTCTTAAAAAGTAGTGCTCCTAACCTACCTGAGACAGATGATGTTTATTAGAATTAAATGTCAGGAAATATAGATGATAATTTCTCTACCAAATATAATTGAAGTGAAAAAATCTCAAAATATTCCAGTAGAAGCTCAGGAGGGAAACACAGATGTGATGTCACAGGTTAGTTACAGTGAGAGCAACAACCTGTACAGTATGGCCTCCTGAAACAGCTGCATCCTGTCCCAGTATGTCTCTGGTTCAAACCCTGGTAGAAAAGACAAACCAGACAGATGTAGAATGACTGTACACATCACACACATGAACACAGACCTCAGTCAAAGAGCATCTCTACCTTCAAACAGGTTGTCCTTGCCACTCTTCAGCAGACACTGGATGTTCAGAGGGATGAAGAGCTGGGCTCTCAGCGGGTCTCCATACAGGTACGACGTCAGAGCGAAAGGAACCTCCAGCACGGGAACCAACAGGAAGCCACAGGAGGCTGCTTTCCTGTGCCAGCCTTGAACCTGACAGATAACAGCTGGTTAAAAAGTGACAGTTCAGTCTGTAGTGCTTCTCTTTTATTTTACTTTAAAGTTCACAAGGTGACAGCAACATCAGTGCAGACTCCTCCGAGTGTTCACCTAATGTCAAATCCTTTACTCTGTGGGACAGATGATATATGATAAGATCAACAATTTGTGATGGTAACTAGCAAATGAGCTAACAATGATTTTTTTTTTATTATCATTGTCCCTTTGTGTTCTGTATTATTGGTGACCTTGGATTTATGAGGTTTTATCTGAGTGGTTTTGAGATACTGAGCTTCAAAGTTTTCTCATTCTAGATAGAACTGATGGACAGATCAATTCACAACTGATCAAAGTAACAAGCTCCAAAATTTTCAGTCAAGTCCAAATATACAATATTATGAAACTTTTTTTTTTTTTTGGGAGGGGGCCTGGGTGGGGGGGTGGGGGGTATTCCCATTGGGGAGAGGGGGATTTTGTTTTATATATATTTTATGTTTCAGGCTTTTTTTTATAACAAATAAATGCATTTAAAACAATATATATAATAATACCAAAATATATATATGGTACCAAAAGTTTTTAAATGGGGTTTTCTAGATCAAATTAGTTGTTTTATTGGAAAAAAACAAGTTCAGTTCCACTTTGTTTTTATACACAAAATCAATGTATGCATTATAGAACCAATTATTTCAATTTTTAGGGACATTAGGGATTCATAAAATGAACCTACACAAATGTTATTTTTTTGGCAAAGACTAGTTTTATGTGAAAATGTCAGTCAGACCATTATAATTTAAACAATCTCAAAGAGATGCTGTGTTTTATAAAATTAATTTTCTCTAACCTTCTTAACTTCTCTAAATGAGAAAGAAGTAAAGTTCTGCAGAAATTTCAACTGAACATGATGCATTTCTATATATATTAATGCATCATCAGAGTATATTTGCTACCATTCTTTCAGTTCTTGCTTAAGAACATTTCCCCTTTGCAGAAATATTCTTCCTCATTTTGTATAAACTGTAGTTTGAAAGCCAGATTTTAGTCATATTCAAATCAAAACACCATGAAAGCAGCTGCAAAGATTAAATATCAGGGTTTTGTCTGTGGTCTTTCAGTCATCTGGTTGGTTTTAATGTTGGGATCAGTATCTTTCTGTCACATTCAGCCTTTTCAACTTTAGTGTAATCATTGATTCTTTGACTTTCACTTCAAAGATTTTTAATTTCTTCAGTACTCCCTGTATCACCGCCCACAACCCAACCGAAACTGTTCCAATGGAAGAATGTCTGTTTCCTGTGCTCTTGTGTTGCAGACTGAAAATGCTGGGTGTGTTTGAAAAGATGTTGTTGATCACCACCCCCACCTGCCCAGAAATAGAATCTCACTGTAGCAATAATTTGATAATTCTGGCCAAAAAGACTCATACATATGTATTTCTCCTTGTCACATCACTCGACAAAGAAGAGCATTAACAGCATTTTGCTTTTGAAATCATTACAATGTCTAGTAATAATCCACATGTTGGGTTTATTAATCTGTTTTCCCCTACATTTTTTACATTTGTCCTCAGACTCAAACTATTGAATGGATCAGTCAACTGAGATCCCAAATGTTTAAACATGTATCATTTACAGCTGTAAAAATAAATAAAATACATCTAGTGTCATGCTGCACTGATCTATGAACCTTTAGCTTCATGTAAAGGAGACAACACCAACATTTAACGGTTAATCATCAATGATATCAAAAAGAAAACATCCTTCTATACAGATGATGTAGTTATATTTTTCACAGAGCTGGGGTACATTGGTTTATGTTTTTTCTTACAAAGGTTTGTACTGTGTTTGTGACTCTCTACTCTCAGTTCTATGGATCTTTTTCCTTCATCATATTTGATTGTTGTTGTTGCTTTTTTTTTTTTCTTCCTTTGGTCTTTAGAAAAATAATTTATTCTTTGGTTAGAATCTGAGTGCTGCTGCAGTACTCAAGAACCTGTCAAGTTACACACTGTGTACACTGTACGCTGGTTGGAAAGGAAGTTTTGATTGAATGAAGTTACCATCTCAAAGAGCACTGCAGCAGTGACGGCCATCCAGTGCAGCTTGATCTCAAAGGCAGCGTTGAGGGAGAAGTTTCCATGGTAATAACAGCTGCACCATTCAGTTCGGTCGCTGCGGTTGTTCACATCCACATCCAGAGTGACTGTCTTCTGCTCCGGGACTGTAGCAGCTGGAGGACAGAGGGAGGCAGGGAGGGAGGTGGAGAGACAGGAAGACAGGAGGCCAAGAAAGCAAAAGGAGGAGGGATGGATGGATGGAGGCATAATGGGCAGATAGAGGAGTTAGAAATGAGGTGGTGAGCGTTGGATGGAGACCCTGTCTTTCACTACTGAGTAATGAGCAATCTAAATTATATATACAACTCACTGGAGACATCCTGCACTGTCTCCTGAACATACAGACTGAGTTTTGCTCAGATCGGATGAAGGGGGATAAGAGTCCACAACTATTGAAACATGCTTTGTGAAGATGAATAAAAGTGTGTGATTGGTCTCACTTCCTTAAAAAGAATCAAACCAGCTGAAGTGTTCGGCTTCGTTGAGCTTAAAACCTGTCCATCGTTACTCATGGATCTAACTTTGGGGGACTGAGCTGCTTCTTTCTAGAACCTGATAACTGTCACTTGTGGCTATATCCATTATTATTACTGTTGTTATTATTATTTGGAAAACTCACACTTGTCTTTCCCCTAACATGACAAGCTTTGTCATTCAGTGTGTGAATTACACTCAGTTACTGTCTTTAGTTACCTGATGGCATGAGTACTTCTACACTTCCTTTAATCTCAAATAAAGTTAAAACAGCATGAATGTTTGCATTGTCTCAGTTCACAGAGAGGTTTCCTGGTATAATAAACATCAATTATAACAACAAATAAGCTGTAAATGAATCAGTGTCTAATGAATGACTTCAGTGTCACATTAATACTATTCCAGGAAACCAGTCTACAGCATCAGACCAGGAAAGCATTAAAGCTGTTGTTTTAAAGGTTAAAACGTTTTGAATGAACAGAGGTAACAAATGAAGCTTTCAGCAGTTTATGAAGCGAGAATCGAGCCGAAGCTGAAACACTGTCACAACGCGGCGTGTTGTGATCATGTTTCCTGTTGACGAGCCAGCAGGAGAGCGACAGGTGAGGACAGTGCATACCACAGCACTACTGAACCACAGCCGCTAACACCACAGCATGCACACCAACTACTACTACACACACAGCATGCACTGATTTGAAGGTGGAGGTGGAAGAATTTGATCAGATCAATCAGAGTGATGCCACTGTGGATGGATTCATACGACTACAACTACAGAAACTGCATGCTCTACACATGTGGAAACACACCACCAGCTGTTCACTGCAGATCTACAGTCCACTGTCATGACAGCTGAGTCCAGTAAGTGTCACAGCAAGACCATGATGATGGTAATGGACAATGAGGAATATGATGTGATGAAATGTTACATGGATCAGTTCTGTGGTGATGGTGAGATGCCACTGTGTGAGCAGGATGAAGAGTTATTATGGTGAGTGTTGTGTCTGTGGTGGTTATGAACATGTGCGGCTCATTGTTTCTGGTTTTGTTTTTAATCTGGTTTTTATCACAACCCAGTCATAGAACTGTAACCACTGTATTCTTTTACTTTGAGGGACTCAGTTGATCCACATTTTCTTTCAGTTTTTCTCTACATGTTTTAACTCTGGGAGCACCGTCTGTGCTGTGTTTGTTTTTTAAAAGACAATCTTATTCACAGGAAACTGCAGTGACCGTGGGGCACAGTGTGTCTTACTTTCAGCCACAGAGTTGAACAAGACAGAGGCCTACCTCCGTCAGAAGGTTACTGAGAAGACATAAGGCAAACTCCTAATATGACATGAATCCAAACCAACAGAAACACTGAGACTCATTAGAACTAGAATTAGCACCTCTCAGTTCTACGCCTTTCCTTCTGTCACAATCTCCTCAAAAACATGTTTTGTGAGGTCACTGTGACTTTGACCTTTGACCACCAAATTCTATCACTTCAGCGTTGAGTCTAAGTGAAAGCTGGTGCCAAATTTGAAGAAATTACGTCAAGGAGATACAGAGTAGCAACAGACGGACAACCTGAAAACATAACGCCTACAGCTGTGGCTGTCTCCGACATTGACATGAAAATCAATAAAACATTCTAGTTTGTGAAAAATCTTTTGGAAATCCTACATAGATACTTATGTGACATTATCTGCCTAAACAAAATCTTGACAAATGTCCTTTCAACTGTCTCTGTGCTTCGTACTCAACTTCTAATTGTCCAATCATCTCTGGCTTGACTGTGGGTGTACAATAACATTAAATACAAACAAACTTAAACTAAACCAGCCTGACATCCATCCAATGGAAGTGATATCATGAAAACTAACACAACAATAAACTATAACAATAAACTAAACTTGTGTTGTGTTGACTGAGCTGTGGCAGAGTCTGTCTCTATGCCATTTAATTATTCATTAAAATCTAAAAAACCTAATTATGTTTAACAGCTGACTTTTTTTCAAAGCCATTTTAACTTATTAGATCATTTAATTCAGTGTAAAGACTAAACAGAAAATTTATTTTAACTGTAAATGAATCCAGCAATTTAGTATTTTGACTAATTAACAGTTACAGTTAAATTAACAACCTGCTCAGAATATATTTATTTAACTGCACTTCATTTTGCTTCAGTGTGTTTTTCTTCCTAACAGGTAGTTTCTCAGCACCTCCCTCTTCCTCTCCATCTTGTGTATTATATTGCTGTAACTCGGTAGGATAGCCACTGTCCGTCTCAGTGGGCTCAGTGTTGTTTGCCTGCAGTATCATCACGATATAGTCCTAACTGTCACTGCACTGACATGCTCCTTCTGAAGACATCCAGCTATTTTTCTGGTGAGAATTTGGACAAACCAAAAACATTGAGCCTCAGGTAGATGTGGATGAATTTTGTATGGAAGCTTGAGGGTTCAAATGAGGCTGTTCAATATTCCCATGGGTCATGTGATGTGGGATATTGGCCAGAGCAGAATGTACTGCCATGATATACACAGAAATTATCTGCAACAGTAGTAGAACAACCAGTCGGGATTTCTGGTAAGTTTCTGAACAACCAAGCTCCTTAACACAAATGTAAATACTGGACCCAGACAGTCTCTGAAGTGGACTTGAGTATGATCTGCATCAGACTGAACGAGGGACAGGGCCATGTCCCCTCTGCAGTGTGGGCTGGGCTGGGGGGATCGGGCTGGGTGTACCTAGCAGTGCAGCGGCCTGGCTGCGTCCTCCAAAGCTGCGGCTGAAGGAGCTGTGCCTACTTGCGTAGGAGGCCGGCCGGCTGGGCAGCCAGGGCAGGAGGAAGGCCGGGAGGTCACAGGGTCGCCGCTCCTCTAACACGAAAGCCACCTCGAACCACTTCCTCTGGAACAGGGCGAAGTCCTCCAGGGCGGCAGCGGACCAACCTCCAGGTGCTGTGGGGGGGAGCTGGGAGGTCGTGCCTACAGAGGACACAGAATGACACAAAAACATCCCCTCAAAACCTCTACAGGAGAACAATCACGTTTCTCTAGTTATACCTAATTAACTCTAGGTATATACAGGACATGACAGCGTGTGCAGTAAGCCCTACGACCTCTGTAGGCCTTGTTTTCATGGCAGTGCAACAACCAGTTGTTAGCAGTGCTGACAGGCTGCTTTGTCCATTTGGGTGATAGGTTGGTACCGAGCGTAGAGCACGCAGTGCACAGATGGGAGGACACACACAAACAGGTGGGAGGTTCATTCAAATGAGACAGTGCAGCAAAGAGTTGGTGTTTAAGTGGAAAATGTATTTCAGACTTGACAGGATTGACTTGACATTGACCATGTCTGTTTCTGGTGAGGGTCAATCTGCTGTGATTCTTACATTATCTGCAGATTTATACTGTATCTGACCACCTTCTCCTACATTTCATCGGATCCCTGCAGCCTTCTGAAGTGACAACCTGGACGTCACCACAGTGTACACCCTTGCAAACAATGTTTTACTCCAGGGCACTCACCTATCCGTCGACATTATGCATCACAATGGAACCCTTCAGTGTATGTCCTCAGTTTGAGCAGAGAAGGACGGTTGTTAAATCCCTTGTTAAGCTGCCATTGACAGCCATCCTCCGATATATACCTCTACTTACTCACGGATCATTCCACAACGGAAGCCGGTCACTCATTCACAACCTAGCAATCTCACTAGTTGACTGGACTGGAATGACTGACTGACGCAGGAAAAATATTTATTTTTTCTGGCTTGAGGTTTTTTTGTTTGTGTGCAAATAACTGAATTCTATTTTAATGGTCCCTAAACAAGCCAAATTTAAGTTTCTTTTTTGTCAATCGTATTTTGAACTGAAAATAACTGAAGCAGAACACGAATGGAATTTTGAGTTGGTTTAGGGACTTTGGGACTGTGGGATTTGGGAATACTTAATGAGTATCTTTAAACATACAAACATTTTGGTTTTTGCAGTAAAATTTTGTGCTTGTGTTTTTCTTTGTGGGACTTGAATACGGTCATTCAATGTGTAGGTGGGTCACATTTTTGTTGTGCACCCTTTGTGGAGTTTGATGAAAACATTTCAAAAGGGAGAAAAACTACCAACAAAACAAAACTTAAAAAGTCAAACTGTCACAATCAGTCCCGTGTGTGACCGCCTCCTTTCCAACTTTCTTTTTTGCAGCCGTAGGGTTTCATATTTTATTCTTGAAAGTTAAATAAAAACCCACACCACCTGCCTGGCTGCAGATCTGAGGTACTGAGGATCTGAGGATCATGTTGTTCTTCACCATCCAAACAACAACCTCATTTCCTGCAGAAGTCTCTTTCCATTTGTTGGGCTGTTATCACTGCAGCACTATGATTGGCACTGCACTTTTTGGTGGGATGAGGCCAGTGATGTGACTGGCTAAGAGTGAATTTATTAATTACCAGTCCCTCTGATTCATATTTCCAGTCAGACTTTTTGAAGTTTGTGCTGCTAGACATGAACCAAAATGCTTGAAGCTCTAACGCTTTGCACTTGTTGTTGCACGTTTATGGTTAAAACAGGACCATGTGTGTGTTATAAATCCACTCACCGTCCTTCTCTCCTACTATCCTGTAGAAGTAGAAACCGTAGACAAAGGTGCGCATCGCGTCTCCAGAAGCATGAGCCACTAAACCTTCATCCAGCATTTTCTGCACAAACCAAATAGAAACCTTTGCTATACACAACACACCATCTTCAGTTGTACTACAGCAATGTTAGCACCCCACGCACCCGCACAGACACACAGACACACTTGTGACATTAGTAAAGTTTGGACAGACAGCTCTTACCTGCATAATGTCCACAGCCATCCCCTGTGTGGCCACTCCTTCCACATTGTTGACCAGCCAATGAACGACCTCAGCGCTGATGAAGCAGTTGCATGGCAGACCCTTCTGCTCTGGCAGCAGCTGTACACCTGTCCTGTAACACCAGAGAGCGCAGACATGCAGCTATCTGAAATCACTGTTCTCCAAACAGGAACAACCACACTTCTCATAGTTAATGTCTTTTTCTGTAATGAGGCCCTCATAGTAAAGAATACAACTTGTATCATCATTAATGACCTATAGTAAAATGTAGGTCTTTACTCCAGTCAGTGTTTCAGAGGCTGGGACAGATAAGTACAGATAATAATTTCCTAGAGGTAAAATAAGCCTTTATCTATGTGTTTTTATCTGTGAAGGGAGCATGGAAGGACATTAGCACTGAACACTAAATGACTATACATTCAGCTATTTCCAAATACGTTTTTATGTTCCCATTAGCTGCCCCACATACCATTTTGGTCCTATGAAAATAACTGAAAAATGCAACACCTTGTTTTTTTCTTAGTATCTTCATGTCCATAGTGGTAGAGATGAGGTCAGCAGTAAAGCAAGTGCTGAACCTGACCCTTGTGGTGAAGAGGGAGCTGAGATGTGTTGTTATGTAACTGCACACTGATTACAGTAACCACATGAAAGGAAGATGTGTAGGTTTTTTGTGACCCACTGTAACTCTGCAGGACACAACTGACTGTCAAACATGCACAACAACAAATCTCACGTGGGATGTTTGATGGCTTCCAGCAACTCATAGGGTGTTGAAGAGGAGTTCAGAGAGAGGGCTCCCGCTGCAGACTGGCCGCTGTGAACAGAACATCCATTTATTAGCAAATTATCAGATATTCTCACAGGAGTCCATCGCAAACTTCAACACTGGAGTGTTTGAAAACAACAACAACCCATGAAGTGCAGCATAAACAGACAACACACACAACTTAACCATACTAGGACAAAACAAGTTTTCAGACTCATCATAATTTATGATGCGTGCTAGACATGTTTTGTTCCAGTTGTTAAGAGTGTCTCTACATGTAGTAAAAGGTTACCTGGTGTCTGTGCTGCTGCTTGCTGCAGTCTCTCCTGCAGGCTGTGCTGCTGCTCCCCCTGTCAGTCCAGACTGGACTCCCTTATCTGCAGCCTCGTTAGCTTCAGCAGGCAACTACACAATTAGGATACACTTCACTAAATGAGCTGCTTCAGTTTATATCCCCAGATCAAAAAAAAAAAAAGAAAAAGCATTGTTCTCACTTATATCTGATTGTATCCAGCCACACAAATGCTTTTATTTGTCAGCTTTTGAAGTTTCTGCAGCTACACTGACACAATCCAGTGCAGGGGAAGTGAGTTTTGCTTGTGTTGCTCAAAACATTTAAACAAAACATTTAAAAAATCATCTACTTCCAGAAATAACTGCTGCTATTACTCCTACTTACTAATTCAGAGACATTACTCCTACATTACTCCTGTGGTGTATCCACAGTAAACGAGACACTGTTACTGAGACTCACTGATATGTTATGTCTTAAATGTAGTTATCAAATGTTGTGAGCAGCGGTGGAAGAAGGATTCAGATACTTTATTCTTAAGTAAATGTGGCAATTCAAAATACTTTTTAAGTCAAAGCAGAATTAACAGAAAAAGTGCTGATTATGAATCCTGTCAGTGTTCATTTTTTATACATTAATGGTGCATTCAAATATAAGCAGTCTGACAGTTTTAGTTGTTTTAGGTGGAGCAAATGACCTAACCTTTAGGATCAAACCAGTGAATTATTCTGTTTGGTAGTTTAAACAATAATAATAACACATCAAATGTTATAAAGTGATAATATTTTTTATATGCTCCTGCTGACACACAGTACAAGTACACCCACACAGGTGCTTTCACTTCACTAAACTTCTCAGTACAAAGTGGACCTCACCAGATTTGCCTTATGAGGGCAGGACAATCTACCCTGTTATCATTCTAGTACATAGCTTTAAGGCGGACCTATGCAGGGATTGATTTGATGTCACTAAACTCTGACTAGATGTCGAATCAGACAGAGTGGTCATGAAAACCTGTGTAGGTGCGCAGAGCCTTTACTTTGTATAGTCACTAGTAACTATAGCTGTCATATAAATCTAGTGCAGTAAAAAGTACAATATTTCCTTCTCAAGAGTTGTGAAGTAGAAGTATACAGTTGCAAAACATGGAAATACTTCAGTAAATTGTACTGAACTACAAATACTATACTGTATATATGTATATAAAGTTTGCATTCCCCTTAGACCCTCGATGAAATATCAAAAAATCAATCCATATAGTACAGTTAAGCTTCAAAATAGTGTTCCATAATTATCTAAATATGTTTCTAACCAAAGACCCTTTTATGGTATGGCCTCATTGTTAAAATAGCTGAGTCCAAGTCAAAATGTATCTTAAATACCAAGCTCAAACGTTTACATTCCCTTTGATGAATCTTCTGCATAATTCATTATAATATTTAAAATCAGGTGTCTGGTTTTGTCATCACTTGATGAGTGGCAACAAGTGTGTTCAATTAGGCTTGTGTTTTATATTTGCAAGTGGGTATAGACGTCCAAGATGTTCATGCAGTTTGCTGAGCGCAACCACAACAATGGGAGCAGGGAAACAGCTGTCAGAAGACCTCAAAATTAAACTGGTGAACTTTGATAAGCTGGAGAGGGATATAACAATATTTGAAAGCATTTTGGGATACCACTACCAACTGTGAAGACCATAATCCAAAAATGGAAGAAACATGGACAGACTAAGACTCTACTAAGGAGTGCAAGACCAAGTAAAATAAATGTAAAAGCTGCTAGAAAACTGGCTCTAGAACTACATAAGACTGGGAAACAAACAGCAGGTGACCTGAAAAATCCATAGAGGCAAATTGAATAAAAGTTTACATCTCCACAGTCAAGCGCAGTCTGCACAAGTCTGAAATGTTTGAGAGAAAAGCAGGCAGGAAGCCACTGCTTACTCCTAGACACAAGGCAGCATCCTCAAAGGATGCTAAAGAGCATGTGAACAAACCAAATGAGTTTTGAAACAAGATTATGTGGTCTGATGAGACCAAAGTCAAACTTATGCTCATAATTCAAACGGGAACGTTGCGCGAGAAAAAACTCGCCTGCCTATGTGGAGAGGAGAACCATTCCCACAGTCAAACATGGTGGCGGCTTGCTGATGTTTTGAAGGTGTCTGTATGCATCAATCACTGGAGCTTTGCATAAAGTGGAAGGAAGAATGAATGCAGGCCAATATCAACAGATTTTAAAGCAAAGCCTCCTACCACCAGTCTAAAAGCTAAAAATGAAGAGACAGTGGTGCTTCAACAAGACAATGATACAAATTACAGATCAAAGTCAACTCAGGAGCGTTTTGCCATGGCCTTCCCTGTGTCCAGACTTATACATAATAGAAAACCCATGGATAGATTTGAAGAAGGCTGTACAAGGCAGCAACCAAGCAATCTGGCAGACTTGGAACAAATATGCCATGAAAACTGGGCTAAAATTACACCTGAGAGGATACAGAAGCTGCTCTGAGGTTATCCAAAGAGGCTGGAGGAGGGCATAAATGCAAAAGGAGAACATACAAAGTATTAGAGAACATTTCATAAAGGGGGATGCAAACTTTTGGACTGATATAATTTTCATTATTTCACATTCTGTTTATACACTTTTGGGACATTTTTGTTACTTTTGAGGATGAAGGAACATTTGTGCCAATTGAACATATATAAAATAAATATTATGTTGATGAAAATAATTTTTTTTGTTTTTACTTTTTTTTGTCATTTCACAGTAAGGGGATGCAAACTTTTGCACTCAACTGTATATGTGTGTGTTGTTTCTTCTCATTTTTCTCTCTTCCTCTTAATAAGTCATATATATATATATACTTTTTTGAGATATATCAATAATTAAAGTCAAAATATAAATCTATAGCAATAACAAAAAGCTGTCAGTTGTTTTGTCCCACTGTAGTAGTGTATGCCGTCATATTATGTTATGTTACACATGTATGTAACACTTTCTTTGTCTTTGTCTTGCTTCGCCAAAAAAAAAAAATTCCACCACAAACTAAATAACATTCACCTTCACTGTACTGGGGAAGAGCCAGATATTTCAAAACCTGGACAAAAATCAAAACAGATAGTTTTGATTTATTTTTGCACGTACAGATAAAACCAGAGAGAAGTGAGAAACAATAACCAACCCAGTCCTGAGATCGTGCATGGAAACAGGTTTGAGTGAATGAATCCTGCTGTGATACAGAGCATGTTAGTTACACCAGGATCACACTTACTATTATCATTATTATTATCATTATTATTATTAGTTATTATTATCTACAGAACTGAGAACAATGAGTTTCAGGGTTTCTGCACCTTTTAAGACATTTTTAATATCATGTGCATGTAACAATAATTCCTGACGATGTAATTAATCTAATTAATGTGAGCTGAACTTGGATAAGAAGCAGAAAATGAATGGTGGGATTAACTAATCAAAAATTACTAATGAATATGGGTTAATTGAAGTTTTTGACTTGCTGAACACCTGCTTATTATGAGTGGTTGAGCTTCTTCTCTGCTGTAGCCATAGTGACGGTGTTTACTGCAAGTCTGATGATGCTTTTTAAATATGTTTGTATTGAACAGTTTTCTGCAGAACAATCCACTGTCACAACAATCCCACGTTTAGTTTACAGATGTGTCTTCTGACAGCTCGCAATCAGAAAGGCAGTGATTTTATAACTCACATTACTGTTTGTGGGAGTCAAGAGAAAATATTGAAGACTTATGTAAATTAAATTCAAGAAAATGAATTGAACTTTCAGGCTGAAGCTATATACTCTAAACTTGGGCTGATGAAGTTATGTTTTAAATGTTTTGTTATTGGATGTACTGTGTAACTCTCTGGTTCTCAGACTTCTTCACATCAAAGACCCTAAACTGACACAGATTAGATCACAGACCCCCATCTGATCTGATTTCTGCTTTTAGATGTTTTATTACAGAAAGTGTTTGAAACCAAAACACTCACACATTCTGTCATTGAGTAACTTATGGATGGAAATATAGTGAAAGTAAATAATTCCCCTTTTGCTGGGGAACCCCTAGGACTCCTTAAAGGACCTCTATAAACAATTAAAGGTTACCTAACATCAGTTTACACATTTCTAATTTATGTGGTAAAGCTGTAATCACTGACCTCAATGTTTCAGCTTGAATCATCACAGAGACATTATCATGGCTGACATGTGATCCTGGTGTCACAGCTGACAGTGTCACTCTCTATCAGCAGGCACCACAGCACAAAGTACAAACTCAATACAAGTGAAAATGGAGAAGCAACACCGCAAGAGTCCCATACAGAGTGTTTCTGCACAGCTTGCTCATGCAATCATGTAGAGTAGAGTCTTCTAGAGGAGCTACAGCACATGATGACACACAACACACACACCAAAACACACAGCCTCAGCGATGCCCAGGGACCTTATCACTGACCTGAGAGTGATAGATGTAGGAGGAACGTGGGCTACGTATAAAATCCAAAATAAAGGCAGCGTCCTGTCAGCGTACACGAAGAGCAAAACCCAGGATCAAACACCCAAAGCCCAGCAGCAGGAACAGAAACCAGAACAGAGGCATGGAGAGAGAGGCAGATGACAGGAGAAAAACAACAGCAAAGGCCCCAAACTGAAGCACCAGCAGGGAACAATCATTTCATCAAAGTATCTGTTGCTGATGAATAAATTCACATGTGTCTGCAAAAGCTAAACGCCTGAAGCAGAGCCACTTATTCTGATCCACACACACAGATAAGACTCTCACCTTGCGGGGGCTGTCCACATATGTGGGAGCTATGGCAACATTAGAGGGGTCACTGACGGCAGCTGAGGGCTTCGTCTGCTGCTGCTGCTGCTGCTGCTCCTCCAGTGTCCTGACAGGATGCAGAAAGAACGCAGTGAAGACGGATTCACGGCTCAGATGTAAACACGTCGACCCGCAGCCCCAGGAGACACTCACTTCTGATTCTGCTCCATCTCCAGCAGAGCTGATAACGCAGATGTGCCTTTCTTGCCTTGTGGGGGCGGCACAGGCTCGGAGGGATACGCTGGGAGGGGACTGGTAACCTGCAGTCCCTTCATCGGCGTGCCCTTCTGCTGTGTGAGGAAGTGAGAAAAATATTTCAGCATCTAAACATTCAGTAAATTTAAAAGTTAAAAGAACAAATGTAAAGACATGTCTGTCTCATTTACAGCAGCTAGAGAGCAACTTCACTTCTACACCACTTCATGACTGTGTCCTCATAGTTCTCCACACTGACAGCAAGAAGATCAATTTTCATTTGTATAGATTATCTATGATTGGATTGTTGCAGGAGTGCAGGAGTGACAGTTTATTAAATGCCCCACTTTAAGTCTACAAGTTGATTTTCATACCAGAGTTTAGTTTTCTCATTTACTATTCATATTTTTGTCTGAAAAATATAAGAAATAAAATTCAAATTTTTCAAAAACTAGTAAATGTTTTTTTATCATGAAAAATTACACAATCGAGCAATTAGTTAAGCATCCGTTAATGATATTGTTTCATAAAGAGTTATTATAAAACAATATCAGTAAATATCAGAGAACAGTGGTGGAAGAAGTACTGAGATCCTTCAGTTAGTAAAAGTATTAATGCTCTGATATAAGAATACAAGTAAAAGTATCATCAGCATAAAGTACTTGAAGTATTGAAAAAGTGTCTAAAGCTATGGATCCTGTTAGTGTTATATTACTATATATCTTGTTGTTGAGTTGATTACTGATGTATTTTAATGTTGAAGGTGGTTAGTTTAGGTTAGTTTAGTTTTGTTGGGTAGTTACATTTAAAAATAATTGAACTTTATCACAGTTGGTCATATAATCCTAGGTGCTCCTCATAGGTTTTTGAAATCATAATGTGTAAAGTAACGAGCAATTGTAGCTGTGACATACATGTAGTGAAGTAAAAAAGTACAATATTCACCTCCAAGTGTTAACTATTAACTAATTTCTACAGAAGCCCTGAAGGCAAATGAAAATGAATGAATGAATTTTGGCCACAAGACACCGTAAAAAAAAAAAAAAATTCACCTGCAAAGCTTTTGGTTTTTTGTCAGGATGTGTACTGAGCAGGTCACAGTGGATGTATAGGTTAGACATATAACTTTCACCAAGGACTGGGATTATAAATCCTGTTATATTTATTAACTTATTGTCTCCTATTTAGACTGAGGTAGTGGTGCACTTCAGCCTATTGTGGCAGAAAAGCAATCTGCACTTCTTTTCTCTATGGAAGCCTCATGCATTCACTTGAGAAAAAAATGTTTTGAATTAATGTGATATTTATCTCGTTAACTCAGAAAAATAGACAGTGAGGAGACAAAGCCTATATATATATATTAATAATATTTTGTAAATAATATATAATATATGAGTGTGATGTAGACTAGGAGAGCCTCACTCTGATGATCCTGTCGGAGCGGTGGCGTCGCCGGATGCGGTTGAGACCCTCCAGGAAGCGGATGAAGCCGTCCAGCAGTACCCACTCCCCGCTGCCGCCCACCCCAGCACCTGCTCCCTCCCCATAAACATCCCAGTGGCCCTCCCCATCTGCCACCCGCCGAGCCCCTCCAGCTGGCAGCAGGAGGAAGCGAGTCCTCCAGAACTTCAGAGAGTCAATCAAACTGTGGAGGCAGAGGAGAAGAAGAATGTGATGGGTGGACTTATATGCTTAACTGTATACATTGTACAGAATACTGTTGGAGGGCTCCTGAGTGAGTACATGCTCTGTGTGTGTGTGTGTGTGTGTGTGTGTGTGTGTGTGTGTGTGTCCACACCTGAAGTCCTCAGAGCCAGCGGAGCAGATGTACTGGTCCAGGTAGTTCCACTTGTACTCCTCCAGTCTCTCATGTCCAAACTCCACCCAGCACGACACAAACTGAGCATCAGAGTGTGGAGGACACAGACTGTAACTGTACTGGATCTGAGCTGACTCGTACGGGTACCTACACACACACACACACACCTTGAATATATACAGAGGCCAGTAAAAACATCCTACACCTGTACTTCTAAATACCTCCAGGAGACTTAGATCACACACACACACACACACACACACACACACACACACACACACACACACACACACACACACACACACAATCCACCTGGGAGGTTCAACATAGCATGAATGCAGATGTGTGTTTTTGTTGGACGTTGTCAGGTGCACTCACTTTGGCAGGTAGCGAGTGACAGTGATTATTTTGTCCTTGAGACAAACTTTGTGGAAGGTCCGGCCCATACTGAGCCAGTAAACACTCTCCTCCTCCTCTGCCCGACGCAGAGAGACCAGACCTGAAAACACAACAAGAGGACACACACAGTCACCACAGGTGTGTTGATGGTTCTCTGTTTTTCAATGGTCACAAATATTCATGTTATGTGACTGGTTTAGCTGGATCATAAAGTTGGGAAAGATATTTTACAGTGAAAATCCAACACCAGGCCAACTTTACTTCAAACATGTTCGTCCCTCAGCTGAAATGCAGCAGCTTTATGGAGCTGCTAAAAACAACCAGTGGTGGAAGAAGGATTAGTAATTACAAGTAAAAGACCTGCATTCAAATGCAAAAGTATTATCAGTACCTTATTTCCAAAACTCTGTTTATTGGTTTTTGTCCATGAAATGACAGCAGAGCAACGTGCCATCACACAATAAATGATAAACAACTGTGAACTGGACACCATCCACCCTCCCAACAGTACATACCTCCCCCCATAAATACAAGAAAATGACCTATAAACAACCAAAATAAATACAAACTATAACATAAAACATAACAAGCATAAAACCATAATAGAACACTCTGACAGTGACTATATTAAAACAAGACTTCGTCAAAACCTAGTACATGTCTGGACCACTTATGGCCAATGTATGAAATTAAGGTCAGTGGTATTTCAGTATGAAGCCTTGTTTTCAGTTCTCTAATTTGGCCTGTTACTGCATTACGTGTTAATACAAAAAATACTCTTGGTAGTATTCAGACATTTTCTAACAATGGACAAATCCAATAATGTATGGGATTTGAAAAAACACACAGTTACCTCTGGAGTAAAGAGGGCTGCTGCCGAGCGGTGTGGCCACAGCAGGCTGTGGTTTCCTGTTATTTGGCTGGACGATGATCTGGTAGCCCTGCATCAACCTCTGACAGATAAACTCCTCAAAAACCTGAGACGCGCTCATCACTGGAGCTTCATCCTCTCGTCTGAGGAAGAAAACATCGATGACTAATGTTGGTCTAGAGAACTCATATCTGCAGCAGTTGATGATATGCAGTTTTCACTGGAAGTAATTATATGTGATTCTCCTTATTGTCCTTATAGAGGAGGTACGTAAAAAAATGTTTTTTGTAATGCTTATGTTATTTTTCCTGCTTCGAGAAAATGTATAAAAACATTGTGAAGAGCACTGATTTAACTCATACTTAGTTCTAGTGTCGTCTTAGGAGAATAATAACTAAAAAAAAAACTTTTTCTTGTAACTAAAATAATGATGCTAAAATCACTCAGTTTCAGTTTAGTTAAATCTTACATTAGAACACTTATTTCATTCTTTTCAAACTAACTAATTTTTGGCCTCACACCTGAACTGCTGAGCTGCAGTATCTGAGTGGAGACTCTGTGCGCAGCTGCTGAGCTAGTGTCTACCGATAGCCTGCATGTGAGGCGTTTAGGGGATGTCTGTAAATTGTAGCTATGGAAAATATCCTGGGTTACACTCCCCTTCAAAACTGCATGAGTTTCTGCATGCACATCGATCACACACTGCCCCATCCACCACCACAAGGAAATTCTCCACCTGGGGTTAAACACTGGACAGTGCTTATTTCAGCCCTGAGCAGCGTGGATTCTTCTCTTTAGGCTGTATGTAGCCTCCGAGGCAAAAGTCAGGACCAAAGAGAGCACTCACTCCACCACTTGCTGCTAGTCGTTAAGCTTCCTGCTGTGAGTACACAGTAATAACAAATGTGACTCAGATCATTATATTGATAATCCTTTTGGTAAGAAAATCAACCTGAATCTATAAAATCGAGGCGGCAAAAACTTTGCCTTTTAAAGGTGAGCAGGGCCTTCAGTGGAACTGACTCCCTTCTGTGTGTGGATTTATAAACAGCTGAATGTTTAGCACACAGTGACTGGCTATAGACAGTTTTATTGTGAAGACAGGATGTTGTCTACCTCTCCAGGTCACTGTGTGGCAGCAGGTCGTAGCAGCCTTCGGTGTAGTCGTTCTGCAGCGTCTGGCGATCGGGGAAGTAGTCGGTGGTGAGGGGCAGGCAGGCCGGTGTGGTCAGAGACTTCCAGTCCACCCCCACCGTGCAGCAGAAGCTGGGCACTGTCGGGGGTGCAGACAGCAGCAGGGCTTCAGGAGCACCCCCACACACACACACACACACACACACACACACACACACACAGACAGACACAGACAGACACACACACGCAGACACAGACACACACACACAAAATCCCCACAAAAAAAGACAAATGCATGTACCCAGAGTGGAGCGGTACATGTGTGTGGGGGGGCAGCACAGAGGAGTGAAAAGAAGAGTAGAGAGAATGAAGTGATGAAGATGGAAAAGAGTGAAGATGAAGATACAAACAGAACATAAAAAAGAGAAAGTACAAGAGAGGGGAAGAAAAAACAAGTCAAGTGTTATTTTTACTGGCCTGATGATTCCTGGGGGGCTGTGGTTGTGCAGCAGTGATCAAACATGCAGATTGTGGCCCAGTCTGTGATCAGCGTCACTCAGAAGCAAGTGGAAAATGTGTCCTGAGCTCAACAGAGGTGTGAATAATGAAGTGACTGAGTGAATTTAAGCAGAGATATTACATCATGCAAAACATTCAGATGGTGAGAAAACTCTCAGTTCAAAACACTGTGTGGAAGAGAGAGAGCTGTTTGACAGAAGCACCCTTAACAGTCAAATCAAGAGGAATACACTACACACACCGCCATGCAGGGATGAGGCTGGTTGAAGGCAAACAGGTCATGTTGTAGGAAAATTATGGGAGGCCTAATTAATCAGAGGATTTAACCTGGTGACATTTAATCAAATTAATTAAGTTACAGATCAAAAGGAGGAAGCCCAGAGGAAGAGACAGATAAGAAACAGAGAAAGAGAGATAGAGGGAGGAGAGGAGGGTAACCCCAGACCACATGACCTGTAAGAGTCTTTTATACTTGCGACCCCTGGAGACAGACGCCCAGTGGAGAAACCTGCTTGCTGAAGCTGAATAAACCCTCACAGGTTAAAGACACCTCTGAAGGTTTATTGCATAATGAGTTTGGTAATTATTGAATATCTGCCTGATCACGAGGTAAATGGCTTCATGACAATGTTTGTGATCAGTTGACATGTCTTTCCTTTTGTGAAGGAGAGATGGACTCACTTGGATTGGCACCGATGAGGGAAAAGTCTTCAAATGAGGAGCCATGGTTAGTCAGAGTTCCTGTAAGAGTGATAAGAAGTAAAGAAAGAGCAGCAATTATTTTCAGCGTTGATAAATTATTTTGGCTATGCACTGTTGAAAGGATTTTTAAAAAGTTCCAGTTTCTCAAAACCGAAAGTTATGACTCAAAATATCTTTTTTTCTTTATGTAGAATCATATATAACCAAGACAAACAGCAAATCTTCACATTTCAGACATTGGTACCAGCAGATTTTTGGGATTATCAAAACAGTTATTTAATAATCAATTATCAAAATAGTTGATTAATAGTTGCAGCAGTAAAGTTTTACTTAGTTTACCGAGGACAGAAAGAAATCACCCATATATCCAAGTTGATCACTGACTAACAGAACATGAGGAAGTCTGTGCTCCTTTTTTCTGGGGTGAGTGAATTTCTAGTATTATCTTATTTATATGTTACCACTAATTAGCAGGTATCAGTGTCTGGCTTGTTGGTTTAGCACATTTACTAGCTAATTACCTGGCAAATGAATTAGCCTTCAAGCAAGACGGCCAACTATGCTAACGATGCTAACTGGAGCATATACTTGTCACAGTTATTAAACCGGCATGAACCGAAGTCTCAGCTCCACACATGCTCCGCCTTTTTGCCCATTCTTGGATTAGCTGGGAGTTAGGGGCGGAGTCAGGCACTGCCAAGATGACAACGGTGGAGCAGCTCACTGAGCTTCAAAACCGCTCTGAGGCTACATCTATCTTTATTTACAGTCTATGAGTGAAACCTGATAAATTGGATCAAGTGATCCCACTTGAGTCACATCAGTTCAGTCTGAAGACTACATGCTTGAAAAAAAAAGCCCATCATTTCTCACTGCTTCAGTCAAAATGGCTCACAAAAACATTGTCTTAAAAAACCTCAGACATTTTCTAAAACAGCTGGTCACCATAGTTTTTAGCCATCTTTACTCAAACAGAACTCAGCAGTGCAGTAGTGCACTTTTCTGGACTATTTTCAGCAGTGGATTAATCCACATTTGGTGCTCTGGTGGGTATTTGAGGCAACAGGATGGTGTGTGTGGGACTGAGTCAAAATAAACTAGTGTTTATGTTCATGGTGATGAAGGAACATGTCACCCATGTCTACTGATATCTTTTCCTAACAACAATGCTCTATGGCACAGAGGAATATGATATATCAGGCTGGGAATCCACACACAGGTAAGTAGATTAATTAATTCAAGAAAAATATATAGAATATTGCCAGTGTCAATGATATTGATATTTATGTCTTCATTACTTAATTGGAAAAATGACCATGAAGTTAATCAGCCACAAGTCTGGTGTGCTTCTTATTTCACTGCAAACAAAGCAGAACAACAGAATAATCATATGAGGCAGGGTTAAAATACTAAGTGTGTTTGAGGAACTCTGTTTATCACCACTGTTGTTGCTCCCTGGACTTCCTGTGAACTCATCCATCCCTCCACCAATGTACAGGCCATTGTCTCCTGCTTGCCTGGAGGTTGTTCGCCTTAAATAAAGATACACATAAACACTCATCTCACTGTCTGTGCTCCAAGCTATTTACAAAGGAATTTCTTCTTTCTGATGGTAGGTGAGTCTAACCTTCCAGTGGCCTCGTGATAGGCCAGCTCCAGCAGTTCAGCGGAAGTGTGGGCCGGGTCTCTCTGCTGGCTGCCCTGAAGTTCAGCCATGTTCTGTCTGGTCTGGTGATGGATCTGTATCGCCTCTCCAGAAGGACCTAAAGAACAACAGTGGCACATACTGTTACATACAGTCAGCTGCTTGGATCAAGGCCAACAGTACAGCTATAGACTCTGGCTCTTACTTCTTTACAAGGTAGCTAGAGGAGGTTCTCTTCTGATTGACTGTTTTCTGAATGATCCAATAAAATTATAGCAGATTTCAGGTAAAAACTCAGAGAAACCAAATCCTGAAAGGTTGGATAGTGGGTCCAGGTGGGCGGGGCCTGGGGCATGGCTGAGGGCAGTGACTGTTTTGTTGTGACATCACAGAGTTCCAGAAGCCCTGACGGCTGGTTTTAAGGCTCAGTTTCTGAATACAGGCTGTGTGCATTTCTCTGTGGACTGAGGCTTTGATACTTTCACAGTATTAATATAGAACCTAGACCTGCTTTATAATCAAACAACACATGGACATCTACCTTTAGACTATATGGACCTTTAAAACAGGCCAGTAGTTGATCATGATTTTTTATATGAAGGATTTTTCTGAGCAGAAAACAGAGACCACTTTATATATGACGACTTCCACACTACACCCAAAGTTTCACCACCTCCCTCCCTACGATATATCTGGACATCACAATCACTAAATCCCACACAAATTTTGACCTTATATCAAAATATCTACTGTGAATGATTTATTGCTCACTTCTGAAGTTATGAAACCCTGCACCATCTACCAGGCTGATGGGACACGGACAACTTGGCTTTTGTCATCACTTCATTAAATCATAAATTAAGATTTAATTAACCTCAAGCTTTAAATTTCCCCATATTCTTGTTTTCTGGGGAAAGGGGTAGAACCATGAGGAGGAGATGATTAAGTTAAATTTGGATGTATAGCAGAATGAGTGGTCTAAATGAGCAATCTCCAAAGACCCTGATCACAGTGTAGTGAGAGGTATCTTTTTCCTGTTGTTTTATATAGGTAGTAAGAGTTTTGTGCACTGTTCATGCAACCTAGGCACCTCAATTTTTTGCAGGAACGATTAACTCAGGTTTTTCCCACTGTCCAATCCGATGAATCAAGAGTTGGGCCTTCTCTTGGAAACAACAGTCATGGAAGAAAAACTCTTGGTGCCTGCTGCTGGAAACCTGGGGCTGTGACTTTACCAACTGCAGTTACTATGATCTGAACAGAAACAGCAGGACTGGAGTTGAATCAGTGCAGATGAGTTGTTTTCATTATTTTAAAAACTGTACTGTACTGTATGTTCAAGGATACAGGTCATGGTTTGTGTTAAGCTAATGTTAGCTCACTTTCAACATCAACATTCAGTGTCTCTCTCAGCAAGCTGCAAGACATATCTGAACAAACATTCCAGGTGAAGCTCCTGGATCAGCTGGTGGTCCTCCCTGTGATCTTTCCTCTTTCTGAGGGTCTCAGGTTCCCACACAGACCTGTTTCCCTGTGTCCAGTGTCTCAGCCTCAATCAGAGTCAGAATGAGTGCCCTCTTCCTGTAGCCTTTATATTAAGTGCAGATCTGTGATCTTACTTCACAACAAAATCACAGTAAGGCTAAGGGCAGGTGATTCCGTGATTGCAACCTCCGAAAAATGCAGGGCCTGATCGGGGGCACCTGAACTAGTTCAGATAAATTCTTAATGGCAGGGGGCGAAGTGTTAGTGTCACCTCACCAATGGGGAAGGTGTGCATCCAGCGCCGGCGGTTGGAGGTGAGCTTCATGGGCATCCTGGAGGGTGTGAAGGGGTTTATTAGCGCTCTCTGTGGGGTGTAACCTCCTGGACGGATGTGCAGCGTCGACTCAGCACTTCCTACTGTGAACCTGCCCGGGGCACTGGAGTCCCGCTGAGAGTCCATCATCTTCTCCAACAACTCTGGACAACAGGATAACAGAACAGCAATAAAGATGGAGCATATCAGCTTCCCCGGACTAATCCAGCTGGACTGGTTCTATGATCAGGGCTACAGGTCCAGACTAAACCTCTGGATAGTTACCTCTGGTGCTTGTGTATCCCAGAGAGCTGCTGACTTCATACTGGGCAGGAGGCATGCGGGGTATCAGTAGCATGTTTGACACCGGACCCAGACTATCATCAGAGGCCAGGCTCCGCTGTTCCTCAGGACCCCCAGAGCGTACAGGAGGGGAGGCCCCTATGCCTGCGCTGACGTCCACCGAGCCCCAGCTCTTCCTCCCACTCATCTCTTTGTCCCGACCCATCCTGAAAGACACAGGGTTCAACAGGAACTGGAACTGTCTCCATTGTGTTTAGTCTAGAGTTTCGTGCCATGCAAAGGGTCAGATACCTGAAGTTGGTGCTCCTCTGAATTCGAGAAGGACCAGGAAGTCTGAACACCTGAGCGTCATAGGCGTCATAGTCCACCTGGATAGGCAAGCTGTTGTCAGAGTCCTTTGGAGCACACAAGGCTGAGAGAGAAAGGTCGGTGTGAAGATGAAGTCAGTTTCTGAGTAAGTGGTTCTCAACCTTTTAGAGTCATGCCCCCCCCCCCCAGAATAATCAAGTTGGTACAGGCGACCTCTGCTGCCTGCTGCTTTCGAGGTAGTAAAAAGAATTTTTGACTCCTGAGTCCACTCATTGTATCAATGCACAGGGAAAGTCAAGGGGAGAGAGAGAGAGAGAGAGTGAGAGTGAGAGTGAGAGACAGAGACAGAGACAGAGAGAGAGAGTGTCTCCCCCTGCTTTGTAATAAATAATAAATAATGCTCTGTTCGTTTTAAAAGATAGGTTTAATGTGCTGCAAGCTCTGTGGATTTGATGTGTTGCTTGACTTTTCTCCCCGACCCGCCAGAGTCAACACTCACCACTGTCTCTCAGCTCTGTAGGTCTCCCTCCCTCCTGACATCAAAAAAATTTGCAAACACTTGTTGGAACCAGCACCGGCGCCTTGTGTTCCTCAGTTGATGGCATTGTTGTGGGATTTTCAGGTGACCCAGAGACACCTCCTGTTGACCCGAGTCTTGAGCTGGAATATTTTTTCTGAGAAGCCATCGCTCCCATAGTTGTTCCATGTGAGAGCTAAAAACTGGCTATAGCTGCTTGGCTAGGCTCCATACTATGGCATAAAAACCACAAAATCAGTTTTTTTTTTGTGTGTGTGTCCAATCATAAACTTATGTGCAGCACACTTTAACTCTCAAATACACCAAATAAAATCTCTTCTAAGCCAAATGCGACCCCCCCTTGGGGGCCAGGACCCCAGGTTGAGAAACACTGATCATGCTTCAAGAAATGAAAAAGATGTCAGAAAGATAACTTACTGTGCGTGTCTTTGCTGCTCTTGAACTTTTCAGCATGAATCTAGAAATAATTGTAATTTTAATGAGACGTTAAAACAGAAAAGAAATATTTTGCTAAATTAAATTTTGAAGTAAAACAACAGAGCTGTGAAACGTGACGTTACCTTACGACCAGCCAATTTGATTCGAGGGGTGAAGGAACTACAAGAGTTCAGACTTTTTGAGGTGTAGAAACTACAGGCAAAAAAGATGGAAGCATGATATAGATCAGCTGATTACACATAATACTTGGTCTTTATTCTCATGGTGAATCATGCTGTCTTGCCTGTGGTTGATCCAGTGAGGCAGGTTGTAGTCGTCTCCCACACGAGAGTCTCCAGACGTCGTCCTGTTGTGCAGCTACAGAGAAGATGACACACATCTTTAGAAACACACAGCTACAGTGTGTGGCCTGATGCAAACACAGACACGTTACCTTGAACAGTGGTACTGCATGCAATGGCTGCTCCCCCATACACACCAGGTCTACCCCGATACCTTAAGAGGGAAAAGTATGTGTCACCAACATTATTTATCTTCATGCAATGATCCCTAAATTCTGTTAACAGGTAGATCTGTTCAGTTTGTGTGTTTGAAGTGTGTTTGTGTCGTCACACTCACCATTGTCAATCATTCTCTGTTTGGTGAGAATCATGAGCAGACGGTCCACCTCAAACACTCCCACCCCAGGTGTGATGACCACTGACATCTGTCCGGTGCGGTCGAAGTTACGGTTGATGTAGTGTTTGTCAAACACTGTGGGAGACACACGGTGACTGTCATCAGTGACTGAACTGAACCTGATGATGTTAAAGGATGAGCTCACGACTTGCTCATATGAAAAACATATTTTACTTGCTGAAATTATTCCTTCTCTTCATATTGGACATAAAAGGCCTCACAGTGGTCAGTGATAGGGACAGAATCCACAGAGGACACAGTCATTGTTCTGTGTAAAAATTGATCCCGGTGACATTGCACTATAAATTTAATTGGTTACAGACACTTGTCTATTCCAAATAGTAGATTTTAATCTTGTTGGTTAACAAGCGTCTGCTTTTGGTCAGGAAACAATTCAAAACAAGTCTGTCTAATATGTCTCTATGGAGTACACATCAGGTCATGCTGTTCACATTCACAGCCATGATCCATAACAGCCACCATAAAGTTTTGGCTGGCACAGCTCCTCTGTGTTTATGACAGTCCAAGAGGTCTCAGTACCTGAGCACTGAGAAACAAAATTAGTTGTTTAATTAATTTGACTTCCTGTATTTATGTTAAAAAAAATTGAACTTAAAAGTTAATAACAAATACATTTTTAAATGGATAAAAAGAAGAACTTTTTTACTCCAGTTTTTTCCAATGATTCAAATAAATCAACTGACTTAAATAATGAAATGAAACAAAATTTCAGTCTAATTATCAGGCTAATTAACATCTACAGCCTGGTAAGAAACATGGTGTAAGAAATAACCAACAAGCCATACGTTGGTAGCTGTGGAAATAAACCAGCAGTCTCACAGATGGTCACTACGACAAGTTCTATATAAATGTGTTATGTTACTTTTTTTTTTTAAAGAAATGTGTTCTCAGTGTATGCTCATATAGTTGCACAATGCAAACAACAAATCCTACAATGATGTTAACTAATCCTGACTGAACCAGATACCTGAATACACCTGCTCTTAGTTAGGGAACTTCCTCTCTTTCTAAGAACCATTCAGCTCTGGGATGAGTGTACGCACCGTTGAAGGAAAGGTTAATGGCCTCAAGGTAGTTTCCTTGAGCAGCAGTTGAATTATAACCCACAGGAAATCCATCTGGTGAGAGAGCAAATAAACATAAATAAACAAAGGAAGATCTCAGTTAGAAAAGGCTCCTGATTCAAAGATCCATCAGTCGGCCAAAAGCTGGACTCGTTCACTACCTGCTTCCTTCAGTCGCACCAGGACAGGATACTGGATGAACAGTTTCTTGATGGTGACCAGTAATGACGTCCACTCATCCCGCCTCTCATTCTGAGCCACGACCCTGATCACAAAACATGTTACGATTCATCATCCGCCACTGCTGTCCGGTCTGTTACTGTGTTCAGCATATAAAACCACATCAGTAAACTCACCTGTAGAAGTCTTCATAAAAACGCCCCTCGTGATCCTGTCTGATGGAGCCTCTCAGGATCTCGGGAAATTCATCTGAGGAGAACGAAAACTAAGATACAGAAATGTTTCCACACTGGTGCTGTGTTCATCTGTGTCATGACTCAATGTGATGATAAAGACAGAGGACTCACCTATAGTCTTAGCACTGTAGAACGTCCGTGAGAAAAGTACAACTGTCACCTCATGACTGCAGTTCTTCTCCTAGATTAACATTTGACAGTGATTTTGATTAGTAACTAATAATTAGTAATTAATGAATCATTAATGGGTTTAAGACTCACAAAAGTAAATAAAAGAAAATCACAAACCTTCCACTTTGCAAAAAGGTCAGACAGGAAACCATTTACAGCCTTCTCAAAGTAGAGATCACCTGAGACAAAACATTCAGGTAAGAATGTTCATGTCAATATGAGAACCTGTATGTCACTGGAAAACAATCACATTCAGCTCATAAAGTGTGAACGACCAATCAGAGAGCCCCAACTAACCATAGATGTCAAAGTCCCACATCTCACAGCTCATCTGGATAAAGATGTAGACCATCGCAGACGTGGATCTGAATACCACCTGTGTCATAAGATCATGTGACATTTCACACAAATTAATGACTAAACATAAATAAATGCTATGGTGAAGCACACACAGCTACATGCTCGCTGTTGATGAAATCATTAGTTGATCAATAGGAAGTTAGTCGACACCAATCACTGAGGATTTGCTGCTTTTCTCTGTTTTGGATTAAATGTTGTTTGGGAAAAAAGATGAATCACCTACTTTAAAGATATCTAAAATTTAAAATATTTGGGTTTTAGTATGAACTTCTGGGGTCACATGATGGTCTAGTTATGGTCTAGACTAAACTGCAATTCCTTGTTAAATGAAAATATCAAATCCAAACATTTTGAACACTTGGTCCAAGTATTAACAATCATCATGTGTGACCAGCAACATCAACATCTGCCATCTGAACACTTACCCTTGTGTCTTCACTGATGTAACCACAGGTCACTTTCTCTCCCTTCACCCACAGTTCACTGGCCTGAGCTCTAGAGAATCAGAAACATCATAAGAACAAGGTGAGGGAAGGTTGAGTTAAAACACCAAAAACTCTTATCAACAGACCATTTACCGTTTTCATTTTTCATCTTCAATTGACAGATTTTGTTATGTTGCAGTCCCTCACCAGTCTACAGTCAGTTCCCCGTAATGATAAAGTGGAAACAGAATTCTTTTTGCAAATATATTTAAAAAAAAAAACCTGAAATATTACATAAGTATTCAGACACTTTGCTGTGACAGTTGAAGTTTAGCTCAGGTTCCTCCATTTCTCTGGATCATCTCTGAGATGTTTCTACACCCTGACTGGAGTCCACCAGTTCAGCTGATTGGACATGATGTGTGAAGACACACACCTGTCTATCTAAGGTCTCACAGCTGACGATGCAGATTAGAGCAGAAACCATGAGGAGGAAGGATCTGCTGCAGAGCTCAGAGACAGGACTGTGTCGAGGATCAAAAACATTTCTGCTGAAGGTTCCTGAGAAGAACAGCGGTCTCCATCATTCTCCCATGAAGAAGTCTGAAACAACCAGGACTCTTCTTAGAGGGTAGGGCTGCACAATTAATCGAAATATAATCAAAATCACAATATGGCCAGGGGCAATATCCAAATCACAGGAGCTAAAAAGTTTTTTGATAAAAGGTAAAATGTGCCACATTGTTGTGCATTGTTAGCAGCATAAGCACTGGGTTGCTACAGAGATGCCCTGCCTACAAATTATATTCTCCAGGCATAAAGGAACATGTTTGTTTGGACTCAACAAAAATCACATCATAATTTTTTAATTTTTTTCAGTGAAAATGCAAAAACAATCATTCCAACTGAAAATGTGACTCATATCACAATTGCAATATCTGCCCAAATAATCATCATGTGTGGTTTCCTCCAGACTCTGAGAATTGAGGCCAGAAACTTAAATCTTGCTTTCATCAGACCAGAGAATCTTGTTTCTCTCAGTCTCAGTCCTTTAGCTGCTTTTTTACAAATTGTCACTGAGGAGAGGCTTCGTCTGGACACTCAGCCCAGATCCGTAGAGTGGCAGTGATGGTTGTCCTTCTGGAAGTTTTTCCATCTCCACACAGGATCTCTGGAGCTCAGCCAGAGTGACCATTGGGTTCTTGGTCTCCTCTCTTACCAAGACCCTTCTCCTCTAGAGGACTCCGGGTTGTTCCAAATTAATTGAGTGAAGATTGATGAGGGAAAAATTATTGTTTTTTTTATTTTAGCATTAGGCTGCAACATAACGAAATGTGAAAAAACTGAAGGGGCCTGAACACTTCCCGAATATACTGTATGTAAATGTCCACTTTCTTTTTTAACCTTTACCTGCTCCCTTTGTCCTTTTTCTTAACCTTTACACACTTTGTATGCTGGTCACTCTAAATGCATTTATGCAAATGGAGTGTAGATGAAATGTATGCTCATACCTGATTCCAGCAAACTCCACTTTCTGCGTCACATAAGCACAGGTGCTCACCTGGAATAAATATTGTGACAATTATATCCTCATGTGCTGTTACACAGTATTACACAGATATACACACATTCACATACCCTACCAGACTCTTCTTCAGTCTCCACATGTCTCCTCTGCCAATGTACTGGTCCTTGAAGGTCAGCTCCACCAGGTCCAATGTCACATCCTACAAACACAGAACTATGAGAGATTCTCTTTCACTGAGAGGTGGAGGAGCTGCAGAGGACTCACAATAAACATACCTTAGGGTCGACAATGTTAACAATGACATCCTGGTATGCACGAAGTTTGAAGGCTTGTGCGACAGTCTGATCCACACTGATTGTCTCTGAATAAGAAAAAAATATGCATCATGGGTAGTGAACAGGCAACACAACTATCACAAACATTTTTTCATTAATACAATATCAAAACAGTTGCAGTTAATGTATATTTGTCCAATTACAGTAGATTATAAGAGTTAGACAAAATGACAGAAACATCCTATAATTGAACACAACCGATTGTAGCCTAAAAATGGCCTCAGAGTTGAATCTCTATATGCCAAGAAACACTGAACATAAGCATCACAAAGCCAGGATGTGTTGAAGGGCTGTTGTATTGGGCTGCATTAAACTGTGAGGTATTCCTGTTATGCTGTTGATTGTCCATCTCCAGCAGGGCTGCAACTAACAAAAATTTTCATTACTGATTAATCTGCCACTCATTTTGTTGATGCATTGATAAATTGTTTGGTCAATAAAATGACTGAAAATAGTGAAAAACACCCATCAGTTTCCTAAAGCCCAAGGTGACCCAAAGATATTCAGTTTAGTATCGAAAGAGACAAAGAAAAGTAGCAAAACTTAACATTTAAAAACCAAGAAATAAATAAATAAAAGCTTACATAGAGATAAATAAAGTTTAACTTGATCTAGTCTAATCTAATTCCTGATCATTTACCTTTCTGTAGGTCCTCTTTCAGACTCTTCACCTGCAGCAGCAGAGGACTGGGAATTTCAAAATAAACAACACCAGATTATAGGCTGAGTAGTGCAAAGATATGTAAATTGAAACACATCTGTTCAAGTGTGAAAACTACCCAACACAGCGATCCTTCTGCTATGCAAACTCACCTGTATTCATCTGTAGGGTGTGCAATCTCGATTATATCCCCAAGACTGACTTGAGGGAAAACTTTTGGGTTGACAACTAACTCATCATCTGCTCAGAGGAAAAGTTGATTTGAGAAACAATATCTTAAAAAAAATTTTTGAAAAGAGATGGATTTATTCTACTAGAAAACAAATTCTCACTTACCACTTCCACCAAAACCTTTCTTGTGCAGCACAAGCTTGTATGACTTGTTGGTCTTCATGATAAACCCCCTAGAACAAAATCACCACTTCATTTGTGAATTATCAAAGTTGTCAACAAACTAACACTATTTTCCTGCTATTCATAAACTCCTTTACTACATATAGCATAGTAATTCTGCGATATACTTGAGTCACTTCATTTCATTTTCCTTCAGTCTCCTACACTGTGGAGTGGGTAACGTTAAAAGTCTAAATTGTCCCACGATGACGACATGATAAAATAAACTGACCCCAGCTGCCTGTCAGGCTTTTAGAAAGGAATACTGCAAGGAATGCACGGCCTCTCAATAAATTCAAGTAATATATAGATATTACGTTAATTTGATTTTTAAGTATTCAATACATTCTTGAGGTAGAGTAGAGGTAGAACATAGTACAAAACATGTAGAAGTACCTGAGCAGTCTCTCCTCAGCTCATCAGATGTTGCTAGCCTAGCATGCAGCTAATTTGAGACTTGACTTACAGTTCGTTAAGTAAGTTACCGAACACTAGCAGCAGCCAGCCAAACAAATGCATACTTGCATTTAAAATACGCCCATATAGATTAAATAAATCATAACAAGCGTTTTTAGTATGGAGGTGTAAAGCAGTTCAGTAGCTAACTAGCTAACAATATTACTACTTCCTCCAAAACATGGAAACATGTGACTTGTTTGTGTAGCGTTGATCAAAGAGTGTCTTAGCGAAGCAAGAGGGCTCACTCCACTTATTTCCGTCTTCGCTTCTTTTGGAGGATTAAGACGTATGTTTTTTTCTGTATAACCCTATAGACTTACAAATCCCCCCAAATGATATACATATTATACAGTTTCTTTAAATTAAATATACATTTACATTTTATGTAAATCGTATTCTGACACTGTCAAGCATTTATATTCTTATGACATTAAGCATAAGCCATAGAGCGCTGGACGGGCTGCAGTTTGAAACCGACGCGAGCTCGAGAGAGTTAGTGTGAGCTTAAAGTGTAGCACTGAGGCTATCTTGTCACTCAGATGCTGTTACTGTGGTCACAGCTTGCCTGTTTACCATAATAACACATGTGTGGGCTCCTTATTTTATATATGCCACTCTATATGTGGATAGGTATAATACACACGTAAAATGTCATGAGCAGTTCGAAGCATCCTAATTTTAGCGTACTTGCTGCCTATTGCCAACGTGAGCAAACCTGAGCATTATTTCCAAATTTTTGTCTGAACCTGCTCCGACTTATCGGATCTTGTCGGGCTATGAAATCACTATGAAATGATGCAATATTTCATTCATGTTTGTTTAGACATCTGGATTGTACTTTTTATAAGACTGAACAAGAAACAGGAAAGCATAACTTATTTGTTCTACAGTTGCTCATATTGTATTACATTCTGCACTTTTACATATTGTGCAAAACAACACGTGATAAACATTGAAGAGAAAATTTTTTTTCTCTTATTTTGAATGTAAGGCTAACAATTTATGCAATACTGTTAACCTCCTGATTTTACGAGGGAAATTTCATATTCATAAAGCGAAATTCTTAAATTAAGTCCCTCATTTAAGTTGTTTCTAATTGATCTTGAACGTTACTTTAAATATCTCAAATTTGTTTCTAACAAACAGGAAGTCCATGTCAGCAGTTAATTTCTATTCTGATATCCTTGTCTTAAGAAACCTGTCACTTAAATGATAGGCCTATATTTGTCTTCATTTATTTCTGTATTTGTTTTAATTATTTTTCTTCTTTTTTGTTTATTTTATTTAAGAACTGATATGTCTGATTGTTTGTACATTTTCAAATTTAAATAAATAGAAGTATATAAAGATATTAGACATCTGGACCACTGCATCAAATAAAGCCAAACCTTGGTACATGTTCCATGTTTTTAGTAGATAAGAAAGCCCTCATCAGTAAGGGATACATTAGGTAGGCTATTATGATTTTGTGAGTTTTGCATAGCCAGACATCAACAGCTCAGTAAGTTGATAAACTATTTTATTAAATAATGGTAGGCTTTAACAAAAATACTGGTCTCATAAATGCACAGCTGCTTTCTCAGCTATTGCTCCATTATATCAAGATATTTCATCATAATGTGACTATTATATGCATTGAGTTAATAGCAGACTCATTTACACTTTTATTACTTGAAAGTAAACATACACATTTGGTTTACCTGCTCCCAAATTCCTACCTCTAAACTTTCATTAAGCTTTTATCAGTGTAGAGCCCATAATCAAATATTCCACAACAATACTGTAGTAACAAACACTATTACAGTAGTTAAAAAAGGGGGTTTCACAAGGACCAATGTTGGTCTTATGACCCAAGTGCGATCTGGTCCTGGCACCACCATCCACCTCTGAAATGATGGACACCATGGAATTTTTATTTTACAGAAACTGACCAATAATACAACATGAGAAGACCACAAACTAGACTGGTTGTAATGAGATGTGCTGATCAGACTCAAATATTAGTTATTATCATAGCATGATTTTATACTGGGTTTCTCTAGGTTTAAAAATTTGGTTTCCCTAAATACTTTTTTTGGACATTTGTGCTATGAAAATGGTCAAATTCATAAGATTTAGTATCATCAAAAAATAATCCATTATTGATGGCTTCAGTCCAATAATGATTGACTTTCAAGAGCACATACTGGTTGAACCTTCTGCAAATGTCAGAATGGCTGCCTAATGAATTAAGGAACGTAATGGAACGTGTCCTAAGGCATATTTCAGTCCAGTGGAACATGATCCATCAGAACACAGCCTGTCTGGCTCTGTTCTCCTCTACAGCTCCCAGTTCCTCTTTTTATCAGCAGCAGTTTCTCTTCATTTCTTGGGATGTGGCCTCCTCCAGTTTGGCATGATCTGATTCTGTCAAAACAAACATTGTTCTATATTTGTAGAAGACATTCATTATCATTATCATTATCATCATCATCTCTGCTTGTTAGGAGTTGAGCCATTACTTACTGATACCATCTCCTCGTCCGATGCTTGCAGGGGCCCCACCCTCCAGGTCCTTTAGGATGCACCTCTCAAAGGCCAGAGCTGCCACCCTGAAGAAAAACCCCTCAATATTTTCCCCTAAAGATAAGAAAGGTGATTTGTTACAGTGGCTTCCTGCTTTTCTTGGATGCATTGTATTTATGTTTTCTTAAAGTACAGCGACAACTGATTAGTGTGCGCTCTTGGTTTTTACCTGTTTTAGATGAAACAGCCCAAAACTCTGCATGCATTTCTGTTGCTATTTTAATGGCATCTCTTTCTGTCCTCTGTCTTTCCTCTGTGGGCTTTAGAACAAGGCAATTGGGTGCTAGAAGAAAAATGTGTCTGTGAAAATTTGTAAAATATACATATCATTTAAAACATACTCACCAGCAGGTCGTTCTTAGTGCCAACCAAGAAGATGAAACAGGAGTCATTCTCATTTTCTCTCATGGCCTCCTGCAACCACTGGCTATGAAAACAAAACAATAAATCCTCAAATTATCATAAAGTGCAAAAAATTCATTTGGAGTTGCGTTTCTGGCCACTTTAATTAATATAAGTCCAATATTCAATCTACTATTAGTTTCTGTTCTAAACCAGCTTCTGAGAAAAATATCTGTCTCTTTAGCTGCTACATAATCCACTATGATCAAGAGCCAGTCTTTGTCTGTCTGCTGTTTACATTCTGGATAGATGGTGTACAAAGGGGCAGTCACAGCTTTTTAGATGAAAACAGCTCCAGGTGCTAGAAAGCTTTGTAGAACCTCAGCCCACTGAGGTGTACTGATTTCAGCTGGTAAAAAAAATATTACTAGGCACTAGTTAGTTAATAGTGTTGGTTATACCTGCTTCAGAATGTTGCATTCTTATAACTATACTTACCGTGTGTGATCCAGGGACTTAATGTCTGCCATGTCAAAGACTGTGATGATGACTGGAAAACATGAACAATATATGTAGTTTAACTAAGCTCAAATGTAAAATGCTTTCACCTAACATCAACATACAATCTTTTCTTTTTAAAAATGGCTTATGACAGCAGCTTCCTACCCTGAGCTCCTCTGTAGTATGCAGATGCAATGCACTTGAATTTTTCCTGCCCAGCAGTATCCCAGCTATAAAAAAAAAAATGCAATTACCGATCAACATGGATGTCAAAAACACAAAGCACTCTTAAGGTCACATCTTGTACAAGCAGCATTATTTATTTAAATTCAAACTACTCACATCTGAAGGGAGAAAGGGACTCCAGATATTTCAAACCTCTCAATCTCAAAGTCTACTCCAATGGTGGCCTTGTAGTCTCTTTCAAATACATTTTTACAAAACCTTCAAAGGCAAAAACAAGTCAAGGTTTTTTCTTTTTGCTCATGGTGTTCAGAACTGCAACAGTCCCTAGATCAGTCAGTACCAACAGAGCATAAAGACAAAGACTTTTTACATGCGGTTTTATTATGATTTTATGTAGTGTTGTGTTCTCTACATCAGATATATACTATAGGTTATGTCTTAATGGATGAAGTACCTATTAATGAGGCAGGTCTTCCCCACATTGAGGTCACCAACAACCACCACTTTTGACATTTTCTGTCGGTCCCACCTTTAAAGAACACAACTGTTTTTTTCATCATTGAGGGAGACCTGATTTAAATGCGATGTTCAAGCAAAACAAAGAATGTCGCTTCAACCCAAAGCAGGACACTCACGGCTGATGCCTGGCCGCTCTGTCATTACAGGCTTCTTTTGCCTGATTGTCCCAGTCCTTCTTTAGCTGCAGAGAGGCCTCAGGTGTGTAACACTGAAAACAACAGGATCATATACAACTGACATTAGCAGTTGTTACTCTGAATACATGTTATAACAATACAAGGTCCACAGCCATTAGTGATGCTGTACTTACTGTAGGCACAGCAGTGCTTTGAGCTAAATGCCAATGTCAGGATACCAACATGCTCACGATGACAATGCAGATGTTAGGCATCTAAGATGTTTACCATCTAAGTCTGATGGTTATTATGTTAATATTTACTAATTTACATCAAACTGAAAGTACAGTTGAAACTGAGGGAATTTCACTAGCTTTGCAGATTATTTAGTTGTAAACCAACGTGCTGGCAAAACTAAAAGCTTGATCTGATGATGGCACTAGATGAAAAAAGTGAAAGGATCACCAAAGGCATAACAGTTCATCTTGAGGGGGACATGAATGTTTGTACCAAATTTCATGGCACTGAATTCCAATTATGTCAACTTCAAGGTGGTGCTAACCCTAACCCAGAGTCAGGGAGATTTATCTTCTGGGGACCATGAATGTCTGTTCAAAGTCATTTCAGTCTAGATCTAAGATGTGGACTAAATCATAGACATATAGGCCCTGTTCAGACCTGGTATTAACATGCATCTTCAGTGATCCAATCACTAGTGGTCAGCTCTAAGTTTGTCAGTTCACATCTGGATAAATGTGTCTCCAGTGACCACCTGTGATCAGATCTCACTTACCCGCTTTTTAATGCAAATAAACAGGTATGTGTTGTTGTTTTTAGCCAATCAGACAAACGGGTCCATTGTCAATGTGCTTGTGTGTGTTTGAGTGAGAGAGAGAGAGAAAGAAAGAGAGAGCGCAGAGCACGGAGGGGTCGAGTGAATTAATGCACTGCACACAGATCTTACAATGAAATCAGGTTTTATCCATTTGAAATAGCAAAATATTTTGGGTTAATTATAAACTGTGTTGGATTAATCAGACTGAGACAGAGGACTTCAGTAGAGTAGTTGGTCTTTCAGTGTGGCCCAGGACACATTCATGTTCACACAGCTAAAAGAATGTGGACACATGTGGTCCACACCACCTCCAAATGTGGTCTGAGTGATCCAATCTCAAATGTGTCCTCAATGCATCTTGTGTGTTCACACCTGGACTTAGAGCTGTCCACTTGTGATCGAATCACCTGAGATGGTTGTTAGTACCAGGTCTGGACATGGCCACAGACACTGCCATTCTAAAATATATCAGTTATATATGCAATTTATCCTGAAATGTACTGCTGCTGCATTAATGTACAGGTCAACAAGTGTCTTGGTGGATATTGTTTGATGCTATGTATAGAGAATTCCTTCCCAAGTCCACTGTAACTGGGTTGGAATAAATTGGGTTAATTCAGATCTATATTATAAAAAACCAACTTAAGATGTCTGGGTTAGAGAGCTATTAAACTGGTCACTTTGGCACTGCAACATCTAACAAACAACTTTCACTTTGGTTTTCAAACCCAGAATCACATTAGTTCATTAGTGTGGGTGTATTTTTATGTCACCCAAAAAATAGAGGCAGGCATTGCTTTACTTTGGCCTAGTATTAATACATTTTACTTGCAATATTCAGCATCTATGATTTCAGACTTAATGACATTTTACATGCCAGTTAAAATGGAAGATGATCAGTTAATCCAGCTAAACCTGATTGTAAGACTGATTTAAAGGAGATATTAGTTACAATAGTTTTTGCTATTGCTAGTCAACTTTAGCATCAACAAGTGTTTACTTACCAGTTGCTAGTTCAGCATCAATCTTAATTTCTTCACTCAACACCAGCTGTCTCCAGCGGTGGAAAGCACAACAATCTTAACTTTTGTTTTGCTTCTGTCTCTATCGCTGACTATTCGTCTAATGAAGTTAGCAAACTAGCCAACTAGTTCGTCTCATCACTTTCCGATACAGTGTCAGTGTAGCAAGCAGAAGTAGCAACTCAGAGGACGTATTACAACCTCTTGTATTGTAAACACAACAATGCAAGACTGGTCAGTAAACAGCTGTTAACGTTGGCTATGTAGCAATGGCAAAACTTGCAAAATAGCTCCTTTAACTCTGCAGCAGAAGAACAGCAAAACAAGAAGCCAGTTTTAAAGTCTTACATATTTAACTACATTCATGACCATTTCAGAGACTGAATCTAAATAACATGACTTAAGATATGTTTGCAATATTCCAAAATTTCTGGCATGTTTTCTCTAATATTGGTTAGACAGTTGCTCTGAGAACCTGTTAGCTGACCCCATTAGAGACCAAAGATAGAAAACATCTTAGATTCCTGTCTAAATAAAGTCCCTTGACGTAGCACTTGAAGAACATTGAGTGGGCAGCAGGGCATACTGACAGAGGCTTTGATTGTGTACCTGACTGCAGCAGCACATAACTACCCTGAGTGCTGTGATCTGATTTAACATTCTGAGTGTTTGGTAGAAGTCACACTTTTCTAATACATTTAACTTCCTCTGGACTGCAGCCCCTGCTATTTTAACTACAGTGATCTAACAGTAACCATTGTCACCACAGTATAATGACAGAAAAAAAGGCTGTACCTTTGGGAATTCACAGATGGCCCTGTCTCTGCTGATGGGTGGTGGGAACGGCATCATCCCATTCCTGTTATCCATGATGACCTGAGAGGGAATGTGTAACAGCAGCTAGCGTTTGTATAATTTAGTCTAATACAACGCCTTCTTGCAATGTATGTCACATGTTCTCTGAACAAAATACCTTATTTTACAGCATCAGAACCCACAATCTTATTCTCATTTAGCTTCATTATCTTCTCAGACAGACACAGTTGGTTAATAGTTCACTAGTGGCACAACATCTAATCAGAAACCTCTCACTGTGTGAGTGTTGAATTGTGGTTGGGACGTTAAAAACACAGATACACAGGCTCTTTTAAAAATACGCTAATGCTGCTGCAGCATGGTGAAGTTTTCAAGTACAAGGCCAAAATCTAGGTCTCTTTGCCTTCAAAATAAGAGTTGACAAAAGTTGAATCAAATTATGAAATTATATTTTCACACTTCTATCACATTCTATATTACTCCTAATGTGCTTTGTACAGATTGTATTTTTTATTTTCTCCCCCTGGCACAAAATCTCCATAAGCCTATCTTATATATTAATCGACATGAGGCTCGTAGACAACTATTTTAAGGTGAAGGTTCTGAACGGAAGTCTCGCCAGGTTTTCTTTACAGTGACGCTGTAAGCGACACGGCGACACAGAACCAACTCCACCACCTATTAATTCACACGTGTGAGCTTTTATTCTCTTCACAAAGACACTCCGTTACACTGCGGTAAAATCACCAACACTGTGACCGACCTGTACTCACCACAGACGAAGTATCCCCCGGGTTTCTCCGGCTAAGACCCTTGTTGCAGTTATGAGCCCGGACGTTGTCTGATGAGCAGCTCGTTACTATGGCAACCATACTATATCGCCCGTGTCACGTGATAATTGGATTTCTATTGGACGTTGTTAAACACACGCCAGGCAGGCAGGCAGAAAACATGTAACTTTCAAGAAATCCAAACAAAATGTAAATAAACTTACACTTAATTCATCAAATGTTACATCAGCATAATTAACACTGCTTCTACTTTTATCTTATATTCTCAGCATAAAGATATAACATTCAGTGTGTCCTCTTCTGTATTTTTACTATATTTCAGTATAGTAACCTACAGTGGTGGAAGCAGAATTTAGATCCTTTACTGGAGTAAATATAATAATAAGTTATGCATTAAAAGATCTTACTTGAGTAAAAGTATGGAAATGGAATTATCAAAAGGATTCACAACGTTTCCTTCGAGTGTTATCTATTATAGGATCATTATTACTGATGAATTCATGTGTAAGGAGTATTTTACGGTTACAATGGACAATGTGAAGGTGACTGAACTACTGTTTAGACTGTGGGGCAGTTTAGTTTGCAATAATGAATGTAATTTAGTCATGCACACGATTCTGTCTGAAAACCAATGAGACACTCAATAGAAATGAGTGTCAGCAGAATTATTTTAAATGACTCATGATTTAAAATATAAATATTGTACCTGAAACAAATGGATATGCATTGAAAACAGATGGCATGGTAGTGAAATTAAAAGGACCAAGTGGAGGGGACGAATAAGTAGAATAGTTGCATTGCACCTGTGTTGATGTGTTTAAAATACCAAATTTAACCAGCTTTACTTTCTCTAACTCCCTCCCAGTTTTACTGTGAATTCATTTTCAATTATTTTGTATTCATTTATTTTGAAGTTGTTCATCTGTTCCAAGTTTACGATAGTCAGCCACGATGGAGAATAAAGGTAGACTAATTGCACCACCTGGTGGTGTTATAGTCTAAATGTCAGTTTAGACTATAACACTAACAATAATGTCAGTCTGAGGTATATGTTATATAACAAAATGAAAGTTCCAGTTAAATTTATCCAGTTCAGAAATCTTCAATAAAAATCCAAGTTCTTTCTTCTTTTTAAATGAACTAGCTGTCTTTCAACTTGAAGTTATACATTTTTCCACATTAAAAAAACGAACTAATGCGACTATGATCTATTTATATGTGCTTTTCTAATTTCAAATAATTTTGAACATCTTAAAATGACGTTAGCAACGTATAATATATGTTTTACCTACTAATATCAAATTTGATCTTTTTTGTAATCAGTGGTATCATTACAAAATGTGTAGAGTATGAATGATTTCCATGATCCCAAACTGCTTTTTTCACCTTTAAACTCGCAACGCACTAGCTAAGCAATCTGCTTAGATAGTTAACGTACCTGACCAGTGACAAAGTCGACAGGCATATGTGTTACAGAAGACAGAATTATTTATATTTGACCTTCCGTTTTATGATACACAAAAAGAGAAAAAAACAACGGTGGAACACAAATAGGGGATTTAATTAAAAAGTACCTGAACGCATCTGGGTCATGTGTCTGTGAAGGAAATTCTGGCAGCGGGCGAGCGACGCGGTCAGCAAAGTACAAGAAAATCGATAGAAGTACTTGAAGAAAGAGGAGAATAACCGTCGTTTAAAGTAACTCCAGACGGTGTAGATTAGTATTAACTCGGAAGAAGATGTACTGAGAAAAGTTTCCGCCAGTTTGAGTGTCTGGACATTTGCGAATTTTGGATTAAAGCAAACTAAGGTAATGTGCTGTAATAACACTAGCTAGCTAATGATCACCGAGCCTTGCAAACCTCAGCTAAGATTAATGCGCCATGCTAGCTAGCCGACCGATGGTTACCATAATGTTATGAAGTTTGATTGATAAGCTAATTAAGCGGAGTCATGTAGTAACCCAACTTTTGCCAATTTAACCAACTAAATTAGCAAACCTATACCTCCAAATTAGAATTCTCTCAAATTTTAAGTAAAATATTAGAAATAAGTTATTGTGTGTTTTACTAACTAATTTAAGGGCTGCATTCACTCTTTAATCTCCTTGCACGGTGTAGCCACAGTGTTCGTGGTTTAACAGCACTGTGCTGGACAGGTGACAGGTGTGTCTGCAGTGGCTCTGAAAAGACGTTACAGCAGGAAAAGGGCTGAAAATTTGCAGATTCACCCAGGTGTATTTACACCAGTGCCGATAGGATACACTTGCTCCTACTGTACAGTAGGGCTGAACATTAATCATTTTTGCGATAATATCTCGATATGATAAAACGCGATTTTCTAACCGCAAAGGCTGCGATTAAACTCTGGTCACATGACATGCAAGCGAGAGTAGAAAAATTGGCTAAAAGAGGAAGTAACAACTTGGCACGCTACACTTTCACCTATTGTATAATGGCCTATGGCGTGACAGAACCTGGCACTGCGGAAACTTTAGTGTCAAATAGTAGCAGTACGTCGGTTGTGTGGAACTATTTTGGCTTTAAAAAAGAAGATGCTGCTCAGCGTCAGGTATTACGCAGTACAGGCGTTGCTACTTGCTTTGTCACGGGCCAACACTACTAACCTGTATCAGCACAAAGCCATGTATCACCATGACACATAGGCCTGGCCTACAGGAAAGAACAGTTAATGTGTAATCTACCTAATATTGTGTGTGTAATCTACCTAATATTGTGTTTTATATATATATATATATATATATATATATATATAGAATGATTTATTGCTTGTGTTAGTTGAATAATACAGAAGATAAAGATCTTTAAAAAATAATCGCCTATTAAATTGCAATATTGGAAAAAAAAAAAAAATTGCAATTTGTTTATTTTCCCAAATCGTTCAGCCCTATTGCAGTCATTTGACCTGGGTGTGAATGCCGATTGCACCCTTTTCCATTGCCAAGAAAAAGTCAGATGTAAACAGTCATGCCACAGGGTGGCTGAGTTTATTTGAGTTTATTTATATCCCAAGCAATAATGGAAATATGTGTGGAGTATAGGGGTGGGCGATATGGCAAAAATAGCATATCACGATTTTTAAAAAAAATAAAATCACGATTCCGATTTTATCACGATCTTAAATTGGAAAAAGAAAAACAGACAATTTAGACCAAAGAACCTTTCTTAACAGATTTTATTTCAAATAGTCGCAGTTTTGCCTGCATGTGCAAACAACATAAAGTTTAAGGTAAGCAACAACAACATTCTGGTTCGTCGTGTTTGATCTCTGCAGTTTGAAAGATCGTCTTCACGTTGTAATCCTTCATGATCTAATATCGTCATATCGCCCACCCCTAGTAGAGTATTAAAGTTGCGTATGTTTCTGTGAGAAGAACAGTAATGCAATGTAATAATATAAGCAGACTAGATGCAGCTGGGTGACCAATTCATTGGACTGTGGTTGAATGTAATCTGCATCTGTGATACTAATATGAATTTTTAGTTTTTAAGCAGAGGATGAGAGCTTGTGCAGTTAAGACAAGGCTGAAAAACCTTAGTTAGTGATCAGATTAAAAGGATTTGCGTTGGCCGGGAATCGAACCCGGGTCAACTGCTTGGAAGGCAGCTATGCTAACCACTATACCACCAACGCTTATGTTGGGATGGTCAAATACTGGTCATAATAATGATGCAATACCAGGGTTCAGCGGTCAGTGTTTTAGTACATCAGACTGCAGTTAAAGCTCAGTAAGCAGAACTCCTTACTTTAGATAATATCAGATGATGTCCAGAAAGTATGTGAGAGACAAAAACAAAGGTTGCTCATGTGGCCATGGATACTTTTATAGGCTCATATGAAATACATGAGTTTGAAGTTTCCATAGTGTAGTCGTTATCATGTTCACCTAACATGTGAAAGTTCCCCGGTTTGAAACCGTGTGGAAACATTGACTGATATGTTTTTTTTTTCAGATGTCTTTATCAAACCACTTTGGTTGACTTTTATGATCTGTTTCCCCGTTCTGGTACCATGCAGGGTATTTGCCACAGCTGTGGCAACTTCCCCAGCTTCAGGATCACAGTTGGTCTGTGCAGGACTTTGGGAGCCGTGAGCTGATGCCATCTGGACCTGCAGCCTTTCTTGCCTTGATCCTTGTGAGTTCCCTTCTCATTTGGTTTGTTGTGAGGGACAGGGTGGAGCGCGGGGTCTGTATGCTGGAGGTTGTGGATGAGGGGGAAGGGCAGAACCAGGAATGTAAAGGATGTGTAGAGTGACTGTGAACTGAGTGATGTGTGAAGTGGGGTTGGGGCAGTTCGCATGGGGCTCAGACCGCAGTGGAGATGACGGGACGGGGGAGGGGCAGATGACTGATCAAATCTATTGAATAAGAGATTCAGGTCATTCGCCCACCACTTGTCCCTCGTAGCTCAATGATTCATAGCTCAATATGGTTCTAAGGCCTCCCCAGACCCCGTTGACTCCCTTTCTTTCTCCTGAGTTCCCTCTGGATATAATCTTGTTTTACAGAGTTATAGTTCACACATCTTTCTGACGTGCATGGTTACAATGTGAAGGCGTGGCCGTCTCTGTGGCGCAATCGGTTAGCGCGTTCGGCTGTTAACCGAAAGGTTGGTGGTTCGAGCCCACCCAGGGACGAGTGTTTTTTAATATCTTTTTATTAGTAAACAAAAAAAAAAAAAAGAAATGACCCGAGATCCTTGAATATGACCTGAATATACTTTGATAATACTGTGAAAGGGATGTCGTTAAAAAAACTTGGGAGAAGAAAACTGTCAAAACATCAAAAACAATAATGGGGAAAATTTATAAAAGTGGAGGCAATGTCTTATGATTAGGTATTTAGTGTCTGACTATTTCTGTAATAGCACCAAGCATTGGTGGTTCAGTGGTAGAATTCTCGCCTGCCACGCGGGAGGCCCGGGTTCGATTCCCGGCCAATGCAATCATTGTTTTTTATTTTTGCCAACTGTTCATATTTGGTCTCAGACTCTGAAAGCTTTTGGTGCCAAAGATTACTTT